GTCTGGTTTTTTATTATGCAGCTGTGGGATAGACAGGATTATCACTGCGCATGTTGTGCAACTGCAACGTACCCTGCGGTATGAATTGTAACTAGAGTTGCATTGTTGAGCAAGTTGATTTATTAACGAAAGACTTTCCAAATAAGAATTTCTCACGCTTGTGGCGACGCTGATCCATAGAGAGAAAAATTGAACGATTCAATTCTAAATATTTTCAATTATTTTCTAATCATTATCAGAATAATGTGTGGAAGCTTTACGTAATATAACCTCTGATGAGAGTATTCGCTGGATAGGTTTTCAAAAAGCAAGAAGTTGACGAATGTTTGGTGTCAAACGTTTTTGTAGATCTCGAATGAAGTGATTTTAAAAAATCACTTATACCGTTGCAAAGGATTTTTGTTGAGGTTCATTAAATCCTCACTATACCTTGCTCTGAATTGATAGCGGTCTCTGCATAGCGCTCATGCAGCTCAGGAATATTCACGATAAACTCAAAATCAAGGAAGTTTATCGCGAAACTTTCTCGCGCGTTATAGGAAGGCCAAGAATGCCCACATTCTTCTAAAACCCCGTCTGTAATTAAGTGGCTGGTATGAAAAGCGATCATATTAAATAAGAAAGTATATTTCTTGAAAATGCTTTGGCTAAAATTGTATGTGTCTCTTGCACACCACTTGCGAAATGAATGAAAAAACATTTCCCTCACTGAAAAAAATATAATCCGTTAAACAGTGTCGTCGTGATATAAGACTAAACAATTTATTTTTTCAATGTACTGATAGATAGAGAATGCATTACCAGTAGCCAATGTGGATATCGAACTGCCGTATTTATGTAGTGTTTAATTTTCTAAAAGCATATGCTTTTACATATTTCATTTACATTTCCCTATGTGCTTGCACACAAAAAGGCACGTACGTTTGAAATGAGTGACACTACAAGGCGATTTTCTCTTATCGCGGCGTGTTTTGGTCTTTTTTAACATCGAGAACTGAAGGATCAATGTAGGGTATACCATATTTTGATGTCTATTTTAAATGCATCGCAATGAAATTTTACTTTCTTTCTTAGCATTTCAATCTTTGAATTCATCTCGATCTCTTGGGTGCTCTAAAAATTCATTTATATGGTGTATTGATAGAATTTTATATTCGTTTCCTCTTTGTAGCATAGCATAAGCTTTGAGAATCCGTTGTGTTTTTAGCGAAGATATTCAAACCCTCTTGTGCGTCTTTGTGAGGCACGTTTTACAGCCGTCGTGGGGCAAGTTGAAAACTCGGTTACATGCACAGTACGTGAGATCCGTGAACCTGTTATTTTCTCACGTGTATCGCGGATGTTGTTGGAAAGCGCGCATAATTCCGCGTGTCGCAGCCGCCACCGAGTGCTCTGCATAGGGCAAGAGTCGTCGAAGAAGCTTCCGCGCTGCGCACCGCTCAAGTTTCGCTTTTGCAACGTCTTAGCGGTTGCAACGATGAATTGCGGTTGAAGAAGTTCCTGCACACAGTTTGTTTGGTAGGATATTGTGGTCCATGCCGGTGGCCCCGACTTGTATAAATAAAATTATTTCTGTGCTGGCCTTCAAAAAAAATATATTTCGAGGTTTTCACAATTCTAAATTTCACAAATTAACCAACTGTGACATTTTGTGGAAATTTTGCAACAATGTTGTGCCCCAATAAATAATTGCAAAAAATAATTGTCGGAACCGTGGCTGTCTTCAACACTTTGCTTGCTTTGAGTTTTAATTTCTTTCTATTACCAAAATTTTGAGCTATATTTTGAGTCGAACACAGTTTCGTGTTCGGTCGCTGCCATGCTCGTGACATGCGTCCGGTGATATCGTGCGCAGAAAACCGAGAATTTTTTAACGTTTGACAGCATCTCTGGCATTAATTGTATTATTTACCGGTGACTGAGATTTTCTATTTGATAAAATTCTCTTAAATAATGGGACTTTAATGGCAGGAAATATATCACTCTCCTTAATGGAGATGACTAATATATTTCTGTAACTGTTCCGTGCGTGCACTTTTACAGCGCTTTATATCTATTTTCTTCATGTTGAAGCCAATTTTATTGCGAGAACAACGCGTTATAAATTGTATCCAGGGCACAGATGGAAAAAATCTTATTGTAGGGTTATTGCCAAGCATCTTGATCGACAGCTGATCAGATGCATCCAGAATTGCGCTTGATTGATCTCCTCTCTGATTTTTTGAACCAGTCTCTAAGATCTTTAAGAATTTTCAAGGAAAGTCAAGACGCCCTATAAGGAAGTCAACAGTTCCATCACAAAATATATCTATGTATTTAAAAATATTCGCTCTTACTTTCCATTTGCTTTTTCTGCACTAAATTAATGCATGCCTGGCACAACTTGGATTTTCAAAGCCTTTCATAGAAGTTCCCCCCGCAGCAAATTTTTTTTATGGTAGCTTTCTTTCATCCGCAACAGGATGCTCCCATATATACTACTGCTACTCTATCGGCAAGAAGCGCTGTGATATAATTTCTCTTTTCTGTGGGGCATGTCATTATGCGTCCCATCCTGTTATGTTATCCTTTGAGCTAATTTACATAATGTAGTTATGAACTCTTTTTACCTTCCGAGACGTGACAGACTGCTATTCAAGGTGCACTAATTGTACTAGAGTGCTTGATTCTTTGGCCTCGTGATTTATTTTTCTTTTGTAAAACGTTTCTGGCTGAGAATTTGTACCTATTGGCAGTACGCTAATTTACACACCATGCACATAGGTAACCGATTAAGTTTATCTATAGCTTTCAATTATATTTCACGTTGATTCTCAAAATTTAACTGTACTGTAACCACGTTTCATTGTTTGCAGTTCTTTTCTGATTGTCTAATTTAATGATTCTAAATTTATGTTTATCTTCGAGTTAACTTCAAAAACAACGAGAAATAATTTGTTCGATTTGCAAATATATATAGGATTTGTTCGATGCAAATATATATATATAACATCGAAATCTATTTATTCAGTCAAGCTTTGTTTCCGATTTCAAATTTTAGTTGTTTTCTATATTTTTTACTTGAATCCTATTATTTTTAGTTGAGTTTCATTATTTATAGTTGAATTTTATTATGTTCAATAGAATTTCATTATTTTAGTTGAATTTTATTGAATCCTGTTAATGTGCAAGCTTTTCTAATCGGGAGTTGAGTCCAGATGTTAGATGCCATCACCACCCCACTCCGTACCTGCTATATTTAAAATTAATTTTTCTTTAGAAATCGAAAGTAGTCGCTCACCTCACAGGTTAGCAGGCACTAACGACCTCACCACTAATTGTAACCTCTTACGAGCTCACTTTCAAATTTAATATTATCTGAATACATTTTTTTAGTATACCCTCACCAGTGCTGCTCGCAGCAGAGAAATTGAATACTGAAAGTACAACTGGTTCTCTTCGAGTGAAAGTGTTCACGTTAATCATCCAGTGAAGTTCAGAACTTATTTTGATTTATTCTTAATTGTACGTATTTAAAATCCTGTTTTTTCAACGAATCAAGAGATATTTATATACTTACATTATGTTTAAAGAATTTCAATTGATCAGGTACGACATCAGCTCTCATATTATTGACGAGTTGCATATTGGCAATTAATCGGTGTTCACCACCTCTTAACGTTGTAAATTATCCTGACCTTCTGTTATAAATAAGAATTTTTCGGTGAAATTCTCAAAGCTTGATTAAATGAGATATTGAATAGTTTTAAATCGTATATTATTGATACAAAATCTTTTACATAAGAACTTCACTGTCGTAGAGCAAATCTTCTTCTTAGATGTATCATCAAATGCTCTCAATAATTTTAGCCTATCTAGAGCATCTGAACTTGCTTTCGTTGTTGCTTTCTCTGCTGGATGGCTAAACCTGTTTCTATTGCCTTAATGATGTCTTACTCCTTTTGAAAATATTTCCTAGATCACTTAAATTAAATATGACTAGATTGCATGAAATATGTCCGTCTATAAATATGTCTAGAATAGAATATGCTGTTCCGTGTAGAAATGTGTCTAGAATAGAATATGCTGTTCCGTCTAGAAATATGTCTAGAATTGCCTGATGAAGAACGTTTTGAAATATATGAGCAAACTCGGTTTCCTCTCCTCCAACGGCGTCCCAAACACGAAGACTTTTGTTTTTAGAACAACAAACTTGCTTATCAACTAAAATACCCGACTTCCATGTACGACACAGTCTCCCCACATTGATACCCGACTTTTTGTCGCGCTTCTTCGCCAGACTCCGCGCCTCGCACATCCGTCACTCTCGACGCGATCCTCCGACGTGCCGTGCGGCATCAGCCACCGCCTTTTCTTCTTGGCTTTGGCGCACGCATCAACGCAGTTCTTTGAGCGCTTTCTCTCGCCTCATGTCCTCGGGCTTCTCAGGCAGCTTTTCCTTCACTGTTCGTTATCGCTGGGAAATGGATTTCATTTTAATTGCATGCCTAGTCCGTCAATAGTATCGCTGTGCAATCGATTTTTTTATGATGTGGCCTAGTCCGTTAAGACTTAAGAGTCTGGAATTTAGGTTCAATCGAATCAAACCTCATTCGATCGCGGCTTCACTGCCTTTGATTTACTAGCATTCCAAATAAATCCAGTAAATTCCAATATTTTCCTCTTTACTGATCGACTTGCTGCGTTACGAACTTAAGGCAGCAACTCATTCTCGGTACAAAATTTTTCTGTGTCTAGAATTGAATACCGTTTCTTGTACCATGTTGGTAGAAATTAAGGGTTCTTCTTTGGCTTTGATGAAGTTAATCTATATATGTTAAATTAAACGAGTTTAATCAATGATAACTTAATAGGCAAAGCGCAAATCAACCACGAACTCATTAGCAAAGAAAGGCCCTAGAGGAATCACAAGATTTTTTTAGGGAATATTGTTAATTTCTTGCCTTGTTATGTGCAATTATGAGTTGAGTTTAGTTTTAATATGTAGAACGACCTAAAAGATGGCAGACGTTTTTGTGCAGCAATCTCGTTCCGTACTGCAGAGAGTAAGAAATGCAAGGAGGCCTTCGCGCCCGGCAGCTCCACTTTTTCTCGAGGAACTTCGAATCGGGAACGCAATGCGCAAGAAACGATCCTCTCGAAACGATTCTCCTCGATTATTTGATTATGTTCAACCCCGATATTATTTCATATTCTTTGCAAGGTTATAATTCATTTAATCACCAATATATTGAACATCCAAGCTCACCTTTCATATTAAATTTAAATAATTACCCCAGCTATTGACAGAATGTTTTTCCCCCGAGCCCTATTTCTGCATCGTCAAGAATTGTAAGCTTATGAAACGGACGTTTATAATAAAATGGAATATTATATTATCGCGTTCGAGGATTCGGTACCTGTTTTCTATATACCCTTTCACTATGAGGACATCGTCAATTTAAAAAGTAGCCTACCATAAGCCACTTTAATCCGTGTCACTTTTGCTCGACTCGCCTCGCCTTGGGCGTCAAGAAGGCAACGCATACACTCTCTCGAGCCTCGTGTTCTTTGAAAAACTTACTGCAAAGGAGATTTGCCCCATAGCCTACAGCCCCACCCGACACACATACTACATGCATCGTTAACTCACTACCCAAACGTTCATGGATATTCCTGATTACTTATTTGTTTTATACTCGATGCTTTGTGGATGCCTTTTTTTAATCTAGAAATATCAATTTAGAATTGATTTAAAAGATTATAAGCTAATAAGACGCAAGAATGACATTTCCGCCTCTACCGTTCGCATAAGTATGTGAAATGAAGACCTAAATGTATACCGTAATACAACTTCGTTTATACAAATACAATTTTGAAGCTAGATGTATGATCTTTCGCATGCCGACCTTTTACTCTTATATCAGATGGATTTTTAAAATCCTTTTCACTTGGATTTCAAATGTAAACAGAATGAACTCTGATAGAATCGTTTTAGCAAAAGTGCATGTCCAGCTTCTATGCGTGCACTCAATTTAAAAGATTTTTGGCTCTGCGCATATGAAATTCGGGGATGAGGATTGTTTTTTCCTGAACTCTGATCAAATTTTTTTGGGGTTCTCGTTAAGAATCTTTACTATCGCATTGTATTAGATGCAATTAACCCATTCAATTTCCAATCAACATGACCTACAGGATCGACTTTTACTGAATAATTCAGATTTGCAGACATTTTGCTGTGGCGCACCGGCATTTTATGGTAGACTTTCTAATGATCAAACTGATGGCAGTACCGAAACTGGTCCAATACCAACTGATTTTAGAGCCATGATTCTTTAAGGGTAGATAAGCGTTTTATGTACAAATACAGAAATATTTCATAAAGCTTTGGCCTGGTGACTGAGGGTGGATAAACATTTTTTTGTCAAAATACTGATGTATTTTATAGCCGTGTCTCGGCTACTGCGAGATATGCACGGGACGGCACCTGTTTTGTAGGTCATCTTACGCCTCTATGGGGCGCGCTCTCTCGGATGTTGGACCAGTTCTACATCAGACCATTCTCTGATCTACTTGTAGAATCACCGCGAATTCCGCCCCGCAGTAACTAAATAACAGACGAGTTATTTCGTATAGTTAAGTATTCATTCTTGTAATTTATAACATTTAACAATAATGTTAGCAATAGTTCTTAGTTTTCTAGGTCATTGGTTTTCTACAGAACTCGTCGATTCGTACATACTCGTAGGTAAATCAAAGTCATATATAGTCGAACTGTGTGTTTTCATACAGTGTTTTACATATTTTTATGCTTTCTTACCTGCAGCGCTAGATCTTTGCTGGAAGTTTTAAAGTTGCAACTTTGAACGCTATTTTGTACGATGTACAAATTGTACATACACCTGCTACCACTACGAAGAAACAATGCATTAGATTTCCAAGCCTCTTCTAACACGCATCGCACCGGATGTCATGACCTAACCGTCAATGAACTTGACGAGCTCCGACGTGCTGATCACTCCTCTGATGACATTGATGGCTCCTGATGACCGAAATTTAAAGCGCGCAGCCGTGAAGATGCTTCCTGCAGGCGTTTTCAATTCACTGACTCGACTTTTTGTTGGTATTGAATTCTTGCTTGATCTGCATTACTCTACCTGTTGAATAATAACGTAACTTTCAGTAATCATTAAATTTTGCATCATGTTGTTTTTCCATCGAATTTACCTCAATATGTTGAATCAATTCAAGAATTTGCGCTTGCCATGGCAGATAGTAAAAATTATAATATCCCTATCGTATTCTCATTATTTTTAAAAACCCTATCCATGTATTTATTTATGTTCCCCATTTACCGTTAGCAAGCTAATCAGGCGACTGATCCTTAGAAGAAAGCCAACGCATCTTCGAAAGACGTTTGGCTGAGATTGCATCTTTTATCTCTTCGAGCAGCATCCAGGTGTTGGAAGTGGTGAAGGATGACTCAGCGATTAGCGGCGTCTCTTGAACCGCTGTGGTGGTAGTGGACTCGTTAAGTTTGCATGAAAATGGCTCGTTCGGGTTAGCTCCTTAATGAATACGGCGTCGTGTGTCAAGTCACATGCAAATGTTGAGGCTATGCTGGGAGTCAGGCATTATCTTGATGTAAATTTTGAATGATCATCGAAAAAGCCATATACGTGCACGAATTCTGTTTGCCATACACACATGCCTTGTTTTTGTTTATCTAGTTATTATTATGCTCCGCTAGAGCAAACAAAATTCTAGGTGGTTTGTAAACAAATGTCATAACTTATAATTGACACGCATCTCTGCGGTTCATTTAGTCTGAATTAGACCCCAGAAGTTGGAATTATACTTTTCTCGCTTTTTTGCGTTGTCGTGTCTAGTCCGCCTGAGAGTTTTTTTCCAATGTTCGATGATGTTATCAAATGTTTTTATGTTTTATTTGTTTTGTTATTCACCATTAGTTATCATTTCGATCTTTCAAATTGAAGCGCTTCAACGGCCCTGTCATCGCAGGGGCTTAATCCTCATCACTCCAATTGGTTTACAAAAGTTACGGTATTTATTATTACAAGCTAAAATTTTTATGCATTTATGTTAGATAAATGCTCTGTCGTTGAAGCTATTTGAACTTACTGTAAACTTTTTGCCACATTTAATGCAACTGTACAACAAGTTTGAGATATTGGAAGTATTTTTTATTTTTATTATATAATTAACTTTCTCGCTTATCATTCGCTCATCAAGTTTATGTCTATTCTGCCTATACCGTATAATAAATTGGGCTCATTTCACAAGCATCGCGTATACTCCAACTTTAAGCTCTTCTTTTCAATGCAGAATCAGACTTACAAACGTATTTACAAAATACATGCATAAATGTCATCCCGTAGACCAATCCCCTATTAGGAATGTACAAGAAACCAAAACTAAAGGTTTGTTTCAAGTAACCCTGCAGTTAGGACTGAATTTCTTAAACTTGCAGCTAGAAGATTATTCAGTCCGTAATCTTCCGATTACAGGTGCGCCTATTCACATCTATGTCATCTCACCGACAAATCGCCTATTATGAGTATCCAGAGAACTGAAGCAAAAGGTTTATCTTAACCCATTTCTTAGGCCTGCAGCTCACATCTATGTCATCTCACCGACAAAACGCCTATTATGAGTATCCAGGGAACTGAAACAAAAGGTTTACCTTAACCCATTTCTTAGGCCCGCAGCTCACATCTATGTCATATCACCGACAAATCGCCTATTATGAGTATCCAGGGAACTGAAACAAAAGGTTTATCTTAACCCATTTCTTAGGCCTGCAGCCAACATCTATGTCATATCACCGACAAATCGCCTATTATGAGTATCCAGAGAACTGAAACAAAAGGTTTATCTTAACCCATTTCTTAGGCCTGCAGCTAGAAGACGATGTAGTCCGTACTTCTCACGAGTACAACAGCGTCCGTCCATCCGTCCGCAGCGCGGCCACTGAGCGCCGGTCTCCGCGGTCCGCTGGTTCCGTGCTCCACTTCGTGGGCTCGTGCGCGGCTCGCTTCTTTGCGTCCGAGATCTCGTGCTGCTCCCGCCACGCTGTGTGCGGCGGCTGACGTTTAGAATTACCGACCAATTTGATATGGTCAGAATCGATATAATTTACTGTTGGAATTTATTGCGTTATGATTGATTTGACCTAATCATTTATAGCATCTGTTCGTTGATACTCGTTTGAGATACTCTAATAAATTCCTGTCTATCGTTTGGAATTGTTGAGAACAGATTCATATCCAACCGATTGAAAATCTGACCGATCTAAAATCTGAATTGTTTCATAATAAGGCACGAATTCGAAGTTCTCAGACATATCGAAGGCCTGAAATCCTAATATAATAATATATTTTTAATCGAGACGTAAAAATAATAATTCAAACATACCTCAACCCCACCCGACACATAATGTCAATGCAGTAAAGTAGAAATGCTGCTTGGCAGTGGAGACACCTCCGCTGGTATTATTTTGGATCGGTGTTCGCGTCCGTATTAGTGACGTGATAATCTTTACCCGTCGTTTTAAACAATATTCTTCGCAGTATCTACGTACCTACATTGAGAGTATATTATTCTATACTTAATGTATGCGCAAATGTTTTAATATATTATGCATTCGCGCTGAATGCGATCTGAAAAGTAGATCTTTATTTTCCATTTACATATACATACATATGTTTTAAACATAAATTAACCATTCATGCAGTGACTTCGAATTGTTTTGACAGGCTCTAAAATAAATGCTTTGAAATACTATCATAATGATAAGTTTTGTGGCATACAATACTCATCGATAGCCTCGTGATTCAAACCTTCAATCCCTTCACTAGCCACGACCCTCAACCTCTGCACTGGACCACGTGTCGTGATGTGTTGCCGCGTCTCGTGTAGCTCCAGCGTAGCTATGCGGCGTGTGTAGCCTGTCTCTTATACACATCTAGATGTGTATAAGAGACAGGTATAATGAGGCTGCGAGCAGAGTTGTACTCGTAACAACAGTCCAGTTGTATAATGAGGCTGCGAGCAGAGTTGTACTCGTAACAACAGTCCGGCAGTATAATGAGGCTGCGAGCAGAGTTGTACACGTAACAACAGTCCAGTTGCATAATGAGGCTGCGAGCAGAGTTGTACTCGCAACAACAGTCCAGTTGTACATTGTAGAATGAGGCTGCGCCCGAGTTGCAATGAAAGACGCTGCTAAATATTCTGAGCTGGAGAAAAATAACAGCGATAAGCTTCTCGCATTTGTCGCACAGATGACTTTACGTCACGGGCTCATTAAACATTGTTCAGGGATTAGGGTCAAGCCTATTTAACGCTCTCTATACAAAAACGAGCAAATTTCAAGCAATTTTTGGATATTCAGATAACATTTGGTTTACTTTATTGTAATCTTTGTGCTCGTATGCTGCGGGAAAATGCACCTTAACAAATTCGAAATATGCATTTTTTGTTCAAGCAGTAAATTTTATTTAATTCATCTCATTGCAGTCGTAATTCTAGGTGTGTGTTGCTTTAAAAAAAAATAAAAGTTTTTATTGATGTCTGAGCTACTAATTGAGAACGTTCCTCTGGATGACACGATTTCACCATGACTTAACATGATTAGCCGTATCGTTTTTCAGAACATTATTACATCTTGTGTATAAGCGTCATATGTTACCTGACTAGTATAGAGGAATTTATTCAGGGGCTGAACATAACATAGAAATTGTCCATTTCGTCAAAATTGCTTTAACTGCCATTTTCAACTTTACACGATATTTTCACGGTGACCAAAGATCTCAACTATATATTTCAGCCAGGAAACAGACGAGTGCCTTTGCAACCTTTATTGGATACGGATCACTTTACCAACTTTGTAATAAATAATTAAGTTCTGATTAATTCACATTGCCAACTTTCATCAGGTTTTTTTCGAAGATTATTCCACCGCCGTGCATGCGAAATTCAATCTCGGTTTAAGCCAATGATATTTTCATCAATTTGCATTGTTAAATTTTATTTAATTTTGTTATTTTTCTAAAATTCCGTTCTCCATCTGACGCGTGCACTTAAATATCATATATTTTGTATTTTCAACGTTTTATTAAAAATACAATGCAAGTTCCAACGATCGGAAATAATGCAATTTATTTCCAGAAATGAATTTTCTTAGGTATTTTTATGTGTTGTTCTCGTGAGTGGGAGATTGCAGCGTCGTAGCGCTTAACTGTATCACTGTTTGGTCCGTACACCATTCGACGTGCGCACTTCAATATATTATATTTAGTATTTTAAACGTTTTATTAAAAATACAATGGAAGTTCAACGATCGAAAAAATGCAATTTATTTCCAGAAATGAATTTTCTTGTGTATATTTATGTGTTGTTCTCGTGAGTGGGAGATTGCAGCGGCGTAGCGCTTAACTGTATCACTGTTTGTCCCATCGTCTGCCGTACATCTGCTTCGTTTGACCCACTCGCTGATAACTGTTGCGCAGCTGCCGTCCCGTGTAGCTTATTTTTTCTTACTGATGAGCCGCCTATTTTATTCATTTTTGAACACAATATATATCTGATGCTTTCCTGATGCTTCACAAGTGTTCACAAATAAAACATATTTAAAGTTCATCATTTATTCCAGTTATGAGTCAATAAAGAAACACAATGTTGACTTTAAAGTTTATGCTCAAATGATACATTCGTAGTTTTTTTAAAGACATTATTTTCGATGACTGGCAGATTTTTGTAATTCCAAGCGTGTCCAGGCTGTTACTCGAACACAGGAGAACCTACAAGGCGCTACAAATAAATCAGTATTGCTCTATAATATATATTTTTGTGCGATCATTGACTTCAGCAACTATTTTCACCAGGAATTATATCCTAGAAATTCTCATCAGTTTCTTTTGTCCACTAAAGCTTGAAGTTAAGAACTTGATTTGAGTCCCTTGTCCTGCGAATGAAAATTATCTTTAAAATTGAAATAACCTTAGATGAAAATGAATTATGATTTATCCGTGGAATCCAACTGAAATAAGGATAATATTGTCTGAGAAATGTGAAATTTCTGTTACTGTTTTCGCCTCTGATTAAACGCTAGCGTTCAGTTCGGTTATACTGGGATCTTTCGTGACGCGGCTGCTTCTTGGCCGAGGAATCTTTTTAGCTGCGGCGGAAACGTGCATGGAAACTAGAATATTGGAAAACGTTGCGTATCTTATTTTATTTTATTTTTATTCTAAATTCCGTTTATCAGGCTTGGCCTCGTTCACACAATCGATGCACTGACGAGAAGATTGTTTCCGTAGTATCGTGAAGTTGATAGAAAAAGTAATGGATACGTTCAATCCTTATTTCCATTTTATGCAGACAAATTTAATCGCATTGAAGTTGTTTGTTAGTTTTATGTATGATCAAATTTAGGCAAGCGTTATTATTTATTTATGATTGTTTCTGCATATCTCTTCAAAACTTTCATCGTTGAAAGCAGATACTTTGCTTCTTAATAATACTCATGATTCGTTCGGCTGACACTCATCTTTTCTGTCGAGTTTTGTGGAATCGGCTTGCCTATTGCCAACATAATTTTTATGAATAATTTTTATAGTACCGCGGTATAAATGTGTGCACCGGGCAATAATTTTCGCCGAATGTCTTTATTTCTAAAATGCACGGGATAATTCTGAGACCACCTCATTATAAGTTTTCACCCGTAAATCTAAAGGTAGTTATTATTGTATTCACAAGATTCAAAAAATTCTCGAGGCTTGGCCTTCACGCGTACAATGAGTTTTATATGCAACCAGATTGACAACGACTGAACGCGCTGTTCAACGGATTTTAATTGACAACAACTCAACGCTGTTTTACGAAGTTTATTATTAAAAATTCTAAAAATTTCTTGAAGACAAACTAAATTTTCCTACGCGTTGCAGATGGCCGCGGCACAGAGTTACCAGCCTGCAGACTTCGGGCTGCAGAGACCTGGCACGCTGCCCTCCATCGCGCAGCTCGAAGTCATGTGCGGCAAGGACCACCTCACTGTACACCTCTCCTTCTCGGGGCCTTTCCACGTGAGCTCAGCGAAGATTTTGTGCCCTAGTATTATAGAATAGAATAGAAGTGTCGGCGCTGAAGAAATAGGCCCATGGCCTGTTGCCGATTCTTGAACTTTTCGTGACTTGATTCACAAGGGATCCGGTCTTTGGAACCCGATCTTTCCATAGCTGACGATTGATTGAGATAGCTGCTGGACTTATTGCCTGGTCCGTAATTTGCTAGGCATTTTAAGACTGAACATATACTCCTGCATAGCTTCGTCTAGTCTGTTTTTGAAGATGTTCATACTCGGAGCGTCAACGATGCTATCAGGTAGGCTGTTCCACATGTCGGTGACTCGAAGGTATTGCTTGTTATGTTCCAACTTGCTTGTTATGTTCCAAACTGCATTTTTGTGATCCAATATGTCGCCCCCTTTCCGCTTGTAAAGATTCAAAGCTTTATTTCATGGAAATTACTTGATTTGTTTTTGCGTCAATTGTTTGCTTGACTACTTAATTTTTACTTCCTTAGTCGCGCATTCTTTTTATTCGATGCATATCTGTTTTGAATTTCAATCGCGCTGGTTAGTTTCCATTTAATTTATTAAAAACAATACGTAACTTGCGACAGTAAAATAACGATATTGCTGAAAAGAGTTCATACATATGAATAAACTTGGCGCAATTATTTATATTTTGAAGCATGACTACATCTTTTGTAAACCCGTCAGCCGCTTAGCATGCCTAATCTTAAAAGAGCAATCTATAACATTGAAATGTGACGACAAAAATTGTAGATGTTTCTCGTATAAAGCCTTCGTTTTATTGCCGAATGTCGCTTTAATTCTTTCATTTTAATTTCAGGGGCTCGTGTCATCCAAAGGGCAATTCGGCAACCCTGATTGTTCTTACGTGCTGCCCAATTCCGGCGGCATGCATTTCGAGTTTCAGATTTACTACGACAAATGCGGCACAAAACCTGACATGGGCGGCAAGTTCTACGAGAACACCATCATCATTCAGTACGACGCAGATCTCATCGAGGTATTAATTGTGCTGGACTCGGATTTTCAGAAATAGTTCTTCATTTTTTTGCTGAAACATTGCGGTACATGAAAGCATATAGTTCAAACCGCTGTCTGATACAACTGACAAAATCGGATATTTTTTCCTATAATATTAGTGCCGCATGAATTATATTCTCAATTTAGTAAGTGATCGTCTCATAAAAATATCAGCCTATTTCATTACATTATGTATACTCGCAATGGCCTTATATATTTTCATCAGTTACTGTTGCATTTTTTTACTCTTGAGCGCAGGAGATAAATAAATATTCCTGTCCAGGTTTGGGACGAGGCAAAACGATTGCGGTGCGAGTGGTACAACGACTACGAGAAGACAGCCAGCAAACCTCCCATGGTCATCTCAGATCTGGACGTAATTGCGCTAAATTTCAGAGGTGATTTTTTTAATGTTTACATTCAAGATGTGCCAAGGGAAAACTTGTTGTCTAACGATAAAAGAAGATCATACACGTGTTTAATTCAATTTGTTCACGAAAAATGGCCGATTTCATATTCGTAGTCGATATCAAAGTACTGCTTTAAAATAAATTCAACTGCTTCAATTACTGTTTTGTTCACTTAGTATTGGTTGAAATCAATGTTCTACGCTCCATTTCAACTTACGTCAGTTTTGTGAGTCTAATGAGAAGGAGTTCATATCGTACGCACTTGTATTTTATGCCCATAGCTGCCTTCGTATCTCTACTTATTCCATCGGCCTAAAAGTTTTTAACACAAGAAAGTAATCCATGTCTTTGTGGTGGTATTAATCTTCTCAGCATTTTCTTCATATTTTCGCTTCAGGATTCTAAATTTTTTCTCTATGTCGCAGGAATTAAATTTTTGGTATAGTGAACCTTGTGTAAATTTGAAAATGTTCAGACTTCGTAATGTCGATAACTTCTGTAATGTCGGCTGCTCTCTGATTACGCTAAATCTTGAAGCATCAGTGATATTGAGATTTTTGAATAGTTGTACCCTTTCTATATAAATATTTAACACTTCTTATTTAATTGAACACTTGCTTATGTTAGAAATTTTAAATTCGATTTGTTCTATTTCATGTTTCTTGACGAATCGTGATTCCGTTCAATAGGCCTCCTACCTTAGGTCATTAATTTTGTTCCCCTAACAGATTCAGTTATTTTAATTCAATATGCCATCGAAATAATATGGCGCATATGTAAATGTTAATTGTCATCCATTTTCCCTAATACCAATCTTCTTAACAAAAATTTCGTAGTCGGCATCTGGGCACCCGCTCATTTTTTTCCGCTTTCCAGGCGATAACGTGGACTGCTGGATGGAGATTCAGGACGGCAAAGGACCGTGGGCCGCCCCCGTCACTGGAATCGTCCCGCTCGGGTCAACTTTAACGATGGTCATTGCAATCAATGACTACGCTGGTTTGTTATTACTTCCATATCTCTACTTGTTTTAACTTGTTTGCAATATGTTTCATTAAATCAAAAAGTCTAATGCATCGTTGAAGCCGTGATATTTTTCCTGAAATAATACTAATCAGCCATTTTGGTTTTTGCGATTGGTAATATTTTGATATTTGTGTACCTATGTGTTGTCTCCGGAGCGGTGTCCTTAACGCTTCATCATTAAAAATGTTTTTTTTGGTACTTCTATTTTAATTTCCTCCCTCAGGTGAATTCGACATGAGAACGAAATCCTGTGAGGCGTCTGATGGCACAGGTCCCCCTATTTATCTCACTGATGAGAACGGCTGTGTTCTTAGGCCTAAGATGATTTCGAACTTCATGAAGCTGCGGAACAATGACGGCCGAGCGACAGTTATAAGTTACGCGCATTTCCATGCATTTAAATTCCCTGACACCATGTACGTCCACCTCAGATGCAAAGTCGAGATCTGTCGCTACGGCTGTCCTGATCACTGCCAGAGACCCATTGCAGGAAATCCCATCGGAGATTATTCAGAAAATAACGAACAGTTGCTAGCGGCCGGCTCCAGTCAATACACCACAAGAGAGAAGCTAGAAAAATTAAAATTGATAAGTCCTCGGGAGTCTGACTTCAGTGATTTCAGCGAAGGTGACCGACTGACAGCCAGACGTTCTGGTCTTCGTTCCGATGAACGACCGAAGGCAGAAGGAGCGCGAGTCCTGCTTGGCCCAAGAAGCCTTCGACACAAACGTCAGGTTGTGTCACGTCACGTACGCGCAGCAGATGTCGGGGTGACCACCGAATTCAATGTGATATCAGAAGCAGATCTTGAATTTACGCCCGGAAGAGAGGAAGGTGTGACAGTGTTCCAGGGGCAACGGGAGCAGGTCATCTATGGTATTTGCCTTCCAGCGCCTGGGTTTTCAGCGCTTTTTGTTTTGCTTGCACTATGTACGGTCATCTCGGTTCTGGTGGCAGGGTTCATGTGCCATCACCGGCAACTTCAAAAAGATGTTACAGAATCGCCGGCTTACATGCACCAACCTCCCCAGAGCTTCGCTGCCTTCAACATGGTACATTTCATCCGAACTCAACTTATAGGTCAGGCTATGTAGAACGCAGTAATTACTGTTGGTCTATTTTTATGTCAAAGGACTCTAAATACTGTCGCGGGCGGTTATAGGACAGAACATAAATTTTCGATGCTTCTCAACTGGACAGATTAGACAAGATGTGAAATAGCATACGCCTTGATTGCCCTGAAGCCTGAGTTCAGTATCATGTCAATAGTATTAAATAGCATTTTGAATCTCTAGATTGTATGCACATCGATAGACAATGACAAGTTCAGTATTATTTTTCCAATCAGACGATGGAAACAAATGCAGTTGTCCCAAATTGACCGCTGTTCGTTGTTTTCATGTTGAAGTTTTATTGTTCGGGAGTAGACGAGATATTTATTGTTACATTTAAGGCTAAGTTCGTGTAAATATTTATTTTTTACGCGCGGGAATTTAATTATTTAATGATCGGACTCAAGATTTTGAATTTTAACTTTTTTCCTCAGGTCTAGTGCGAAGAAAAAAAACATCCGTGTTAAGAAAAAGACAACAGTTCATTCAATTCATTTCACGCTTGCTCAGAATTATTTTTAGCCTTTCTGCCGAGTACTGATTGTCGTTCAGTAATGCTCGCCGTTTTAATTCAACATTTAATTTAAGTAGTATAACGGCAGTTTGCCGACAAATAACTTTTTATCCCGGTAAATTTAATACATGTAACATTTGTCATCGGATTTCAATATTATTTGTACTGCGTTAATTTGGTTAGGCGAATTTGGGCTACGTTCAAGTGGAATTCAAGCCCATCGATTCATCTAGTTAAGTCCGTATGCTCATTCTAGCAATTTCTTAGACATCTCGTTCATTCATTAACCCTTTACCAAACCTGTAATCTAAAAGTAGCATTCTCGCGCATTTTTTTTTAATTGAACTTGTGTCTGACCATTACGTATCAACCGGCGAGGTATAAACTATCTGCTGCTATATCAGTTCCATGAAGTCAACCACGTGAATTTACGAGCACTTTCCTCTAGGTTTAAATTCTTCCCTGTTGATTTGTTGTCTAAATTTGCTAATCAAAAAACGTGAATTCAACATGTCAAAAAAAAAAACGGTCAGGTTTCGACGTGTTTGTTTGCGACTCTAATTTTTAATGGCTGGTAAAGAGCTGCAAGGCTTTGAATATCTATTTAAAATTTGTGTCATATGCGAATGCGCAGAATGAACTGCTGAAATCTTTGGCGTGACTTGTTTGTTTTCCAAATATATATTTCGTGATAGTACGCTCACCTATAGCTTATTCATGACAGATGAAATTCTTGCGATGCGGCATTTACAACTTAAGAAATTTCATTTTGGCCAGGAGTATGTAGTAAACGTTCTTACAAAGATAGTTTTCCTACCCCACGCTGTTGAATTATAATGCAAGTCTTTCTCTTTGGTAGACGCACGTTTGCACACCCGGATGTTTTTGCCTCAACTAGGGCATTTATGAAACACTAAAAGAATTCAATGTAAATCCTTTTTTATTCTCAACAATGTCTAATGCGACAAAATATTGTTTCTACTAGCAAAATAGATCAATCTTAAGGAATAGAATACATACGGAATGTAAGATGCGATACTTAATTACTCCATAGTAAAAGGAACTTTCGATTCATAGCAAAATAAATAAAAATGAAAGACAATAAAATAAATGTAGTTGTGACAAATGCTATGTCCAGGAAGAGGTTGTGAAAGATACCTCTAGGTACCTTACATCCTCGCTTTCAGAAGCTTTTCCAACTTTACGGCGTCTATGGCAAATTTACGGATGCCTTCCGCGAGTTTTTCAGTAGCCATCTGGTCCTCGTTGAGCTGCCATCGAAATTCCGCTTCCGACAACGACACTTTCGAAAGCTCACACTCGGTCGCTGTGATAAAAAGGACAGCGTGTAAATTGATAAGCGCCACGTAGAACGTCACTCTTAACGATATTTCCGCGCGTCACAGTGAACACAGTTACGAAATAATTATTCCATTATGACAAACCATATGCAATCAATCGCTCAGGAGATTTGTAATTTGAAATAAACCCGTTTACATTAATGCGCTCCATTTTGAAGTAAAATCATAATTTGTCAATGAAAGTATTACAACGAGAAAATTATAGTGAAACATCAATTCACAGTTTTGAAGGATTAAATGGGAAAATAGGAATCTCATTCTACCAAAAACATTTGAACGAGACCTAATTTTGTGAGATAAAGTTACCGGCTTTAGGGCAGAGCTTGCGGGGCGTGGGGTCAGTGGAGTCCTGAAGCTCGGCCAGCAGCTTGGGGCTGATCGTGAGAAGGTCGCAGCCGCACAGCTCCCGGATCTCACCTAAACGTCAGGGTCAATCGTTATGTTCCGTAATTCGCATAGCCCACAAGACTAGAAACATGGCAAAAAAAATGCTACGTACGTCAAGTAATAACATCAACAGCATCGTGAACCTGAACAACATTAACAGCATCGAAGGCTCGTTTCATGAACCGCGACCGTTAAAAATTTCAAGTAGTCCAGCATCAACATGGAGCACAAATTATTTTTCCGAGAGAAGCGCACAAGAACAGAGAAAGACTTGATTACAACGACTCATCTCTCAAACAGAGTCAAGCTAAATGCAATTAAGAAAAATTAGTTACTTTTGCCTAAAAATTATTGCAGATCAACACCAGAGCGCATAAAATTGTCCTTCAACAGCACGTAAGTCAAACTAGAATTATATTATTAACAATTAACTTTACCGAATTTATCTGCTGTCCTCAAAGTTTTACAGTCAACTGCCTTCAATAACCTTCAGGTATTTTGATGATTTTTTTCATTTCATTCCAAGTATTGGAATTTTAGTAAAAGCATCGTTTCAACAAAAATTACTAAAAAGGAAAATTCATAATAGCTGACTGTCAGATTTAAATTGTGGGCGTTATCAGTTATTATTAGCGGTTGGTGAAATAAACAAACCAAAGATTTGAATACAGACAAGCGATTCAATCTTAATTCATTGAGTTCTAACACTGACTGTGCGTGGATACACGCAAGTGCGAGACATAGTTACCAATGCACAGAAATCAGAAATTTTATGACTGAGAACGCGAGGTCAACATATCTCGAGGTTCATCTTGTTATTTTAAATCTAATAGAAGAGCATCTCAAGAAACTCGGTGAAGAGGTATTCATGAAGGAGAAACTCACCGACGTTCCTGAAAGAGGCACCCATCACTACAGTTGGGTATGAGAACTTCTTGTAGTAGTTGTAGATACGAGTTACGCTCACCACTCCAGGGTCTTCAGGAGCAGCATACGACTTAGTGTCGGTGTTGGCGACGTACCTGAAAACCATAAACATACTGTACTGTTCAGGAAAGATACATAGAGAATTTGCGTTCTTGTCCCCTTGGCATCCATGAATCTTGTAGAAACAATGGCTTAGACTAGAAGCCCATGTTGAACCGCATTTATACTAGGCTACCATTATTCATAATTACACATTTCATAAAAAGAGATTACAAGAACAATACAAAGCGACCAGCGCAAAAACCAGAGCACCGTTGTCAGATATCTTATGACAACCAATTACAACAACAATTTGCCTGCTGCAATCTAGTTTGAAGGTCATAAATATGGTAAAACCAGAAAGCACTAGATCAATATATACATTAAGAAATAGTTTCAGAAAATAATTAATACCCTTACATAGTGAATTGATTTACTACAGCAAATTGCATTTCGGGAAAGAAGGGTTTGTAAGAACTCCCTAGCAGAACTTGCAGAATGAACGAAAACGGAGTTCCCCACCACAGTATGAGAGTTAACTTATGAGAATAATAATTACAATGAAGGATTCACAAACTATGGTGCACTTTATATAAAATCTACTAGACAAGCGACCAGCGTAGTTTTATGCTGACCTACTCAATGTTCGATCAGACAGCTCAATAATTATATATTCCGCACTATCAGCGTAGTCAAGAGAAAGACTATTTAATCTCTTAACATTCTCTGTTGATCAACTTGATTACCTATACGTCCAAAAAATGAGTCAACAATGCAAAATTTACGCACCAGTCCAAGATCCTGCCAACAAAAGGCGAGATGAGAGTCACGCCAGCCTCAGCACAAGCCACTGCTTGAGCAAAGCTGAACAACAGCGTTAAGTTGCAATGAACGCCGTGCTCAGACTCTAGCTCCCTGCTCAGTAGACATGGCATCAACGTCTGTTTCAAAATATAGCAATAAAGCTCTCTGAAAAGAGCAGCAACTTTTCATTGTGAATTTTACAAGTATCAAATTTGCATCACAACCTTTTAATGAATTGCAAACAAACATCTTTGATGTTGAGACAAGTAATTTTTATGAATTTACAATCTAAATTTGTTTTAGAAATTGTTTCTATTGTTTGAAGAAAAAATAAAGAATAAACAATATGAAGAGTAAATTGAAGTTTCATTATCTTTCAGCTAATTTTCCAATGTAATTAGATATATTTTGCCAGAAACCAAAATGTTTAAAAGTATACATCTCTCCTCACAGACACTTGGTTGGAGATGATGCCACTCAAGAAACGTATAAAAAGATTTGAAGTTAGAAGTTCACCAATTCATTGGTGCTTGGTTCCTACATTTAAAATTTAATTCCAAATTTAGTTATAAGAAGTGAAAGGTGATCTCACTTGGCAGCCTGGATGCCCTCCCACGTCGATGCTAGTTTGATGAGGATGCGGTCCTTGTCAACACCAGCCTCCTTGAAAAGCTCTATGAAGTTTAGAGCCTTGGCAATGCTGGCTTCCTTGTCAAAGCTGAGGCGCGCATCCACTTCAATGCTCACACGACCAGGAACGATCTTCAGGATTTCGCATCCAAACAGGACAAATAGCTTGTCCATAGCAGCGCTCAGCTTAGCCTTGGAAGAGCTGGAAGGATACAGGCAAATCAGGAAGAAAATAAACACAGAAAATGGGGCATTCAAGATTATTTAGATCTAGACAGAACATGATGAATACCTACAATTTGATGCTTCCTTTTATAATTTTTAGAAAATTTGAAATAAGTTAGGTATTTTTCATCAATACAACCCAAACATAATAACCTTGAAATTATTTCTGATTTATTATTATACATAAAATTTATTATCTATATTTAAATTATTCGTTTTTCAAAAAAATTTTTAAGGAGCAGGTATTAATAGTTTCCAAGTCCTGCTCAGAAGTTCAGAACTAAAAGCAATCAAAATTTATTCACCATCTCAATTGCAACAATATTTAAAGTACCTATAAATATGCAGCAAATGAACATTATAAAGGCTTAAAATTATAAAACAACTCCTGCTGAATAACTAACCTGCCATTCTCTTTGCCATACTCTACAGACTCTTCAATGAGTGCATCATACTGTGGCATGGATGCAGCTTGCAGGATCAAAGAAGGGTTGGTAGTGGCATCAGTGGGCTTATACTTCCGCATAGCTGCAAGTGAGAGCAAAGCATTACATATTAATTAGTATTGCTGTGCTGTGGAAAAAATAAAGCAATACAGATATACTGACCTCAATTGTAGTGGCACAATGTGTAGTGGATGGGGAATAATATCAAAATTATTGGGGATGATTTTTGGAGTAGGTAGTACCATAGGTATTTCAAGTTTGGTTCATTCAAATCTCAAGAGTAGCTTGATCTATTCAAAATAAATTTAATTATGAATCAAAGACTTTTGAGTGAAATTGTCCCAAGAATATTCTTCATTTACAAGAATTGAGCATAATGTCATACAATTAAATTACATGTCAAAAAGGTTTTTTTCATGGACACTTAATGATATAAAATTCATCAAATTGATATTTGATCAAATTCTAATCTTGAGATATTCAACAGGACACATTTAAATACATGCAAATCTTGTGTCACTACTGAGGTCAATTTAATGCATTTTGATAAATTCAATACTACTGGTAATAGATGCAATTAATTATTCATCCATTGAAAAAGGGGGGCATGAAATAGGCTTAGAATGCAGACATGAGGCCTATGGTCACATTTAGTTACTAGTTTGCGCAGAGCTTTGGCAAGGGCTAATGGCTTAGAGTAGGACTGAGATGAAAAGACTGAAGATTAATAAGGCAGTTGGAATTTATGAGATACCATATGAGATGTATAAATGTGGGAATGCAATTGGCAGACTGACTGATCTATTCAATGTTATTTGGGCAAATGAATGTGTACCTGATGTATGGGATGAAAGCTGTTAACCTTGTTGCACAAGGGAGGCTACTAGGACAATAAGGAGCTGAAAAACTACAGGCCAACTGCTCTGCTGACACATGTAGCAAAATTTCTGTGCATTTTGAATGAGTGACTGCATATATGTATGAAACGTGAAAGAGTACCTCGTTAAGGATCAGAATGGTTTCAGATGTGACAGAAGAGCAGGAGATAACATTTGAGGTGAATGAATCAATTGAAAGAATGATGAGAGATGAAAGAAGAGTCTACTTGGCGTTCATAGATATAGGTATAAAAATGCATGAAAGTTGATAGAAAATTATTGAGCTGGATGTTGGAAAAATTGATACGAGTGCAAGATATGTAAGGATAGTTGCAAGCATGTATGTAAACACTCAAGTGAAATATAGGCTTGGACCGGTGGAGACAAGACTGGGTGAAGGGTGCAAGGGGTGTTTGACAAGGGTGTATTTTGTCTCCACTTCTCTACAGCTTGTACACTGAAGAGATGTATGCTAGACTGATAAGAATGGATGTGGGAGTTCATGTTGGAGATGAAAGACAAAAAATGCTACTTAATGCTAATGATGCAGTAATAATGAGTGAAAATGGGGTTATAATTCAGAGTATGCTTTACTGTATAACAGAATGTGGCAAGGATTTTAATATGCGCCTTAGCTAAGAGAAGAGTCAGGTGCTAGTTTTGAATGGAAGAGCTGAGGATGCAGATAGAGTGTTGCAGCTAGGAGGAATTGTGATTGGGATTACAAATAGGGGCACTTAGGAATGAGGGTGGACCATAAAGGATGTGAGAGAACTAAAGCATTGAGTCTTTGCAAACCAAATCAGTGGTTAGAAATACTGAGTAGTGCAGCAAGGGTGAGGGCAAGTAAATATGATGTTCTAAGAGAAATAGATATGGAAAAATGTGGAGATGCCAGGATTATGCATGGAATAGACATTAATGCATGGAATGATGGCTGACTGGATCAAATTGGAGGTACACAATACTAGACTGGAACTTGGAGTCCCCAGATGGACTGCAGCGGAGGCTTTAAGAGGAGACAAGGTGTAATGTATGAGAGGATGAGAAAAGAATGGATTGTGATGATAGTGGTTCTGTCAGCAGGGGTAATTGCTACTGTGACTGAAAGTGAAAAGCAATATTTGGAGAGCGCATGGAAAATGAGGGAGAAGAGGCTGGTTAGAATGGAGATCACCAGCCTCCCTCTCACCAGGGCATAAAGAATTAAGCATTAAATAATAACAATTTTAACAATAATAATGTAATAAGACAAATAATTATTTAGGGCCTGACTTGCTGAGAGTGAGATATACTAAATTACTAATATTCAATAATCAATATAACCTTGAAACTCAAGTGCAATAAGTAGGACATACCATACCAATATATAATAAACCAAAAAACTTTCTTCTTAAACTTCTTTCACTTGTTTTCATATTAATTCTCAACACAAACTTACCCACCCCTCTATTGTTTTTGCCATAATATCCTCTCAGGCTCTCTATCTGACCTCGCTTCCTTTTCTCCTACTTACAAAAACTAGCTACTAGGCCTAGTCGATATAAAGGCCCGACTAATGAAAGTCTTTTTCAGGGTCACCGCAAACACAAATTAAAATCCTGAGAATTTTATAAACATTTCAGACATTCTTGCTGCTTCGGTTAAAAAAAATCCAAATCGGACTAAAATCTTTCATTTTTCGACCCGTTTTTATGTTTTGACGATTCTTCAATGATATATTGATACCAGATTCGTCTTCCAATTCTAATCAATTAGCCAATTTGAGATTTTATTCACTAAGAAAAACTTTACAAAATAGGTCACGATCAATGGGTTGGCCAGAGATCCTTCGAGTTTTGACGAACTTGGCATGATGGCATCAAGCCGATAACGATCACACATAAATACCTAAATTATTAATTCTCCTTAAAGTCCGTAACAACCTTATTAAAAGAAAAACACAATCAAGTTTTGTTAAGTTACTCACTTACCCTCAAAATCTCCTGTGTCCGCCACAACGGTGGTAAATTCCTTTAATTGGTCGAGCGAAGAAGCCATTCTGCCTCTCTTCTTGGGTGACTCGGACATACTAAAGTCAACTTAGTCAAGTGTGCCGTGCGGGCCGGTAGACGTCAAATTCGAACGTTCAAAGCAAAATCTGCATGATCATGATAACAATATTAGGTCTTATACATTACCAGCTCTGTTAAAAATCAGTCTTGAATAATACATTTCACTGACATACATTTAAGAATATGTATAAGTTACACAAGTAACAAGGATTGTAACTATCAAAAGATAACGTTCTCAACCCACACCTACCTGCATCAAGATTGCAACTGACGGTTGCCAAAACTAAATATTAGAGCCTGGGTATTTCACTAGCGTACGGACAAAAATAGCATGTATAAAATATATTACGTTTTTTAAATACTTTTAAGACAAATCTCTACAACAGTATATATTGAACTAATACCTCATGTGTATTATGTTGTGTTTAATTATGTTTAATTTCATTCCTGTAATAATTCAATAATTGCAAGGATTTTCTCTGAATGCCCCAGCCGAAAAATATATTTTCTCTTTATGCAGTCTAATCTCCATTATGAGAGCTTAGTGTAAGGAAGTAAATGTCATTCAAGCCGTGGAGAGACAGGAGCTTTGTGGTCAGTAAATGGTTCGCATGGCGCCATGACCCAGCTACGTTCGGCTCATTCTGTCACGTTCTCGCAACGACTTGAAGCATGTGCTCACTTTCTCTTCATCCGTTGCAAGTTTAAAAGATATTATTTATCCAAGCAGACTGAAGTACAATTAGAGAAGAAATCAATCGAATCTTTTGCATTGCAGCAAAGGTTACCATTTTTTCTTTTTGGTGATTGCAAAAGTTCACGAAATGGGCTTCCAGAAAAAGAAGCAATTTGTTTCCGAATCCTGGATCATATACTATGCCTATAGTAGAATTTCATTCCAGCAACATGTAGTTGTACATTTTTCTGGAGGGAATACAAGCTATGCTTTTGTTGATATTAATTGTAAAAAGTGGTCCGGAGAAGTAATTGATTTGTCGTATTTGAAATTGAAGAAATGTGTGTATTCTGCTACGCTCACGCGCATTTGTAGCACTGCAAAAACATTCTATGTTCAGCCTCACGACGACCTTGCATTACAAACGAGCTGAGTCAGTGTTTAGCTAGGCAACGTTATTGTAGAAACGACAACGTCCTTTGTGCTAACCGAAGCCATAGAAAACGATTAACAATAATTGTAACTTCCTACAATACAATGATTACCAATTTTCACTAAGACGGCTCATAATTTGAATATTTCTTCTAACAGAGAATATGAATAGCAGGTTATTACGTATGAGTTCCACAGATAAGCTGCGGCCAACTAAAACATGGTTCAATGGAGTCTTCTACAAAGCTACCACACTTCTATATTAATTACTACCCTTAAACTGTGAAGGCATGAATCAGCCCTAATAGTGTCCCTATATGCATGCATATCTGTTTCTTAGACCGTTTACGAAACTTCTGGACAGAAAATGACGACGAATTTTGGGCCCGGTCATTGCGCTCTCATTGAGTCTTTGCACCCAGCGCATAACTCAAGTCTACATGGAGCGTTCGGTATTAAATTAAAAACATACCTCACTAATAGAATTGAAACACAGAAATCATTTCAAGTTTTTGGGTTTTCTGAACAAATTCATATCATATAATTTAGATGCAATAATTGAAATACTACATCTGTGTTCAGGAACTCATTGACTGTCGCTGGTATTGGAATGCGTGACAAGCACGATGGACGATCCTATTACCTGAAAGTAAGGGTAACCAAAGTCAGGGTAAGCTTATCAGACGAATCATTTATTTCCAGGTTGTGATAAATGCTCTTTCATCTACACACTAAGCAACGCTTTAAGGGAACTAAAGACAAAATATCCAGGGAGGATGAACGACAAAGTCACGTGATACAGAAATAGTACGCATTTGGCGAGCACGAATTTGACCATACACGAGGAACATGACCAAAATTACTATTCCTTGACATTGGGGGATGGCGGATGCTTTTCTAAATACAAGGTTTCCATCATCCATCTGGAATTTGAGAAAAAAAACTGAAACGAATTGTATGAAGAAATCGAACCTAGGTTAGATTCAACTTAAAATTAAAAAAACGGAAATTGTGAGTGAGTGGTGCATTCACATGGTTATTAATCAAACAAATTCTAATACAGATTAGTCTTGGGTCATTCGAAGTTAATTAAAAAAATTATTTTTCTCCATTAACTTTACCAACATTGTTCAAAGTCTAAACAGCTTATAAAAAAGTATGAAGTCACCAATAAAATTTCGCATAAACCAAAGATTTCAATTGAATCCCGAGATCATAGATTGATGACAAGCGCGGCATTGAAAACTTTGGTCAATAGTGCGTTTGACAATCCACGTTTGATATCTAGAATAATCCACGTTTGATACCTAGAATAATCCACGTTTGATATCTAGAATAATCCACGTTTGATATCTAGATTAATCCACATTTGATATCTAGAATAATCCACGTTTGATATCTAGAATGCAAGACAAATTACATGATGCATAGTGCTCAGTATGAGTGCCGCATGCGATCTTCCCATGCAATTGTGACTATCGTCAAACCTCAGATATTCAGACGGACATTACTTTATACAAATCCTGATGTTTGCTCGTTTAACAAGAAAGTTATAAAATACAATAAATAAGGTTTATCATAAAGTTGTGAAACGTAGTGGAGAGAAAATTCGACTCACAACTTCTGCCTAACAATTTATGATTTGTGTTATCCTAGATTTATAAACAGAATATTAGTGCTAAAATTAATGGCTTGGAGCAAGTCCAGTTTAAAATATAACAGCTACTCTTGCAAACACGCATTCAAAAATATCGTGAATCGAACACTTTAGTGCCAATTTTTTACATAAACTAGATGTATTAATAATTTATTTTCGACGCTAGCTTGCATAAAATAAATACACCGCTCAGCTGTAAATTAAATTAGCTTCCTCCAATTTTTGTAAATTTTGCGCCTGGACAACTATAATAAAACGATATCTCGTACTCAGCAGCCCCAGCCCCTCTTTCAGACAACTATAAAAGCGTGCGGAACTACTGACACTACCACACGGCGTCGCGATTAAACTACTGTTATCTATGTAACTATCCCCACTATATAGCAGTTACGCATACAAGTTCAGTGAGCCGATAATGACAACAATTAAGCCAAACTTTTCAGCATACTATAGGGATTTCATTACCTATAAGCACAAAAACGACCTTCGCAATTTTGCCACATTAAGGTTCCTAGAATACTCCCAAAGATGTACAAGTCCCTCAACAGGCATACCACATCTACACAACCACTAACAACAATAAAGAGGATTATTAAACACAAATACATCGCAGGAAGACAAAGCAGCACGATCGAGCTATATCGACCAACACTATAGCCTAAAACAATAAATTTCCACGGTAAAAATGCACAGAAAATAGCATCTTCCAATGAGTCGGCGTTTGCAATCTCAGTTACACTGTTGCTTACCAATTGTAAGATCCCACCCTAGCTGATAAATCAAGTCTGATGGTAACGGGTCGGAGATTGCTCATTACCGAATCCTAACCTTCGAATTTACGAGAAAATCCGTTTATTTACATAATTATCATTTCCCGCACACTATCATTTGGCGGACGCAAATCTCTACATTGCATGAGCATTATTTGCAGCAGTTTTAGTTATGATCATTTACTTCCGATTCGCAGTTCCTCTTCGGCTCTGATATGAAATTTGCCATAGTTAGTTTCGTATTTTTTAACAAATGAGAGAGGAAAATGAATTTTGATTTTTAAAATATTATTCATACTGATAGATCATGGTACAAGTGCACAGTTGTAGGTCCTTAAGGACGAAATACCTAATAGAAATATTGCAAAAACCACGAGTTTTGAATCGTTCAAATCAAAAAGATTAAATTTGTTCCGCGACATTCTTAAACGGATCGATCAAATGAACAAAGTGTGCTCCGCGATAGTTGGTTTCAGTATCAGAACTGCCAAGTTCCCTTAGTAAAGAACAACAGGGCTAGTGGACAGCCTGGGAGTTTAATGCTGAATCAATATAAAATTTCGATCTTAAGTAGTTCTTACAAGAATAAGTCATCATCTTTCGGGAGTTTCAGTTAGTTATTTTTACACGTTTGAATATTTACAGGGTTTAACCTTATCGTTTGTTATCTGGACGAATTCCTACGCTTCGTCATACAATCGATTTTTTTCTGAATTAAGCCGTTATAGGTATACCATTAAGATATAGATTAGGTATAACATTCTCTCATTCATTCCCCATTATCATTATTGCTCTGTAATATTTAGAATTTCTGATAAAATTTTTGACACGTAAGCGACGAGTGGAAAAAATGGAGGCTGTACGATGGTTGGGAAAATTAAGAAGGTGAGATTCTAAAAACCTATCATACACTAAGATATAATAAAAAAAATTGTCTACTCAGACGACAGCGTCACACATCCTGCGGAAGTTCTCAATAATAAAAAATAATTTTGCACTGAATTTCAAAACTTGGTTTATATTTTCTGCTCCAGCAATGTATAGTTTCTTAACCATTGGAGGCCTAAATGCATTAAAGAGTTACTGACTTGATAAATTTCAATGCAACGGTATCTTAATAGAAAAGGCCAAACAATTTTAATTTCGACAAATTGAACAAAAAAAAAACACTGCACTATCTTTTAGATGCAATTTCGACATGCGTAACACACGACACACGAACTCGGGATTGAATTAAGAACATACACTGAATAAAAAAGTATGGAAAATCAGGAATGAAGCTGCAATAACGCGAAGCGCTTGAGTACTTCGCGACCGCATAAGAAGCCTAGTCATAAGGATGACTGGTATTGCACCATAGGCTGCGGTACGATGCGGTTGCCTTCTTCAGGAGCGACTTTGCGCAATGGCACCTCTAGAGGAGGCCATGTTTTGTCGCATTTCAGGTTCGCCTCAATAGCCAGGAATTTTTTCTTGGATTTTTCAATGTTGTGCATTTTAGGTCGAACCTTCTGGTACATGAGATAGTCTACGATGAAGTACTCGATGAACATCGCGAGTAAGGAGTTAATTGCTGCGATGATCACTATCTGGTAGCGGAAGAACATAGCACTCGAATCATCAGCAGGAGGCATAACAAGTTCAAGCCAATTGACCAACACATCATGGGGCCAGAGCGTAATGTACAAGCTACTTATTGTCATGATCACCAGTGCCCCGGTCAAGTAACGGTTGGTGTAAAGCGGCTGTCGGTACGGAGGGCCTCTTGAGAAAACCACGGCTAGAATAATGTACTGGAACTGCGACACACAGAACACGGCGTAATTTTCCTGCCCAGTGATATTTTCCTCGAGAGCAGTGGAGTTGAACGGCACGAACCATGATTGCTCTTGAACGTAGAAGAAGCAAAACGTTTGCACTGCGATCACCAAAGCCAAGTGAAGAAGCAACGACATGATGGGCGTGATTGACATGAGCGACGAAGGCGGGGACGTAGGATGCAGGTTTCCCTTGAAGGAATGGGTCCTTCCGAAGAAGATGGCGAACACCGTAATCAGGAACAGATCGATATAGAGAAACTGAAAGTCTGACAAGTTGCTGTCGATGGAGTAGAGAATCATGATGGACACGAACTGAGTTAGTGAGTACGCGGCCATGTACTTGAAAACTCCAAAGCTGGTCACGAGTGCAGTTCTTCCTTCCTTGACAATGGTCGGCACGCATGAAATGTTCGGGTCTTTAGACGTGAAAGGAGATGCCACAGACGCCTCAGCTTCTGACAACGAAATACCGGCGTGTGCAGCCTTCAGGGCACCACAGTCGTTGGCTCCGTCACCACACATTCCTGGCGCAGTAAAGGAAATGTAACCAAGAAAGCTAAGCTACGTATTGCACAAAACTCCAATAACTCTAAACTCCTCGCGTCACTCCAGTGCTTTTAGTCACGACGTTCACGATTAAAATAATAACAATAACGAGAAATTTTTGTTCCAATATACACAAACCAATAATGTTCACCCACCAACATAGTATCCGAGATCCTGGAGGTGAGTGATAAGCTGCTGCTTCTGGTCAGGCTTCATGCGGGCGAATACAGCCCCCCTGACCAGTACCTGACGCAGGAGGTCTTCATGGTCGTCCTCCTGTATGGCCGCCCAACTCTTGCCGTCCACCGCGACCACATGGCGGCCAGCGTCCAACGGCCCCACGTCCACGGTCACCGTCCCATTCTGCTTGTCCTCAAACTTGCGCTGTGACGCAAAATTTTGAGAGATACAGGGGAAAAACTCTACCAAGAAAATTTTCGACTTATGAAGAAGCTAAAATCACTTCGAAATGAAGGGAAACAACTCAGGCTGAAAGTGTTCACTGATCTACATGTTTTAAAAACAGCAGATGAAGGTGAACCGTTGCAATAAAGATGCCATGAATAGAGAGGTTGAATCATTATTGAAATACTCGAAAATAAATAAAATGACTTGGAATAAAAAAATTTCAAGAAAAGGATAGTCAATTTTTGGAAAATTGAAAAAAGAGGTACCGTTAAAGAAAACTTATAGAAAAATGGTAGACATCAACAACAAACAAACTTTTCGTGGAAAAATACACCTATTCACCTATAAATATAACTACGGTAAATTATTATACAACTATATAAATTGGGTAAAAAGGTGTGAAAAATGCTTAAATTTTTATCTCAAGCTTAGTAGTTGCACCCTGCAGTTAATGCAACATCTGATCGCCATAAAAAACTTAACAGGATCATCCAGCATAAAGTTCTTTGTTAGATGGAAAAAAATGAACTTCATTATGTTTAGTCTTGAAATGTCTATCCTACGGAACAACTGAAAGTCTAGAAACGATTTTAAAACCTGCCGTCCGTTGGAAAGATTTGATCATAAGGCCAGTCTTTAGATCTGTGAACTAATCAAGAAAAGTACAAGAATCGGCAACAGGCCTATTCTTCAACGCTTAATGTACTATACTATACTATTAGTTCACCTTCAAAATGTAAGCAGGTGTTATTAGATTTGGATGTTTGGCAACAAACTATGCAGGAACTCACAGAGACTTCTACGGGAGTGGTGGGCTCGTAGCAGAGGTTGTCGTCGTCCGTCTGACGCAGCTGCACCACCGAGTCTTCCCTGGCAATCAAGCCGCACTCCCGCGCCACGCTCAGCGCCGTCAGGAGGTTGTCGCCTAGAACGCCGTGCAAATTAAATTATCTAGGATACTACTTAACTTTGTGGTAGAATTATACTGTGGTATATTATCAATCATCATTTTGCGGTATAATTATAAGGTGAAATCACACGTTAAAAAAAACAATTACACAAATTTTGCATACAATCTGCCGCATGAACTTAATTCGCACATCTCGTATTATCCAAAAAAATTCGAAAATTAGAGGTGTGAATTGCCACGATATTGTTCATGGTTGTGCAGAACAATAATTATTGTATTGATGTATAATTGTATAAATTCTTAATATAATGTAATTCAAGTTGGTAATCGCGCGCCTCGATTGAAGTAATATGATAGATGATATAGCGGGATCAGCTTTAAATCTACGAAAGTCAACTGTTCTCGATGCAGCAAAGCAAATGTAACTAAGTAACTCTAAAAGACTACAAACAACTTCACAATACGTTCATCTCACCCGTAACCATGATAGTGCGGATGTTGGCCTGCTTAAGCTGATCAATGATGCTTTGGGTCTCCGGCTTGAGTCTGTTCTCCATCACCAACAAGCCCAAGAACTGCAGATTGCACTCCAAGTCTTCCCGGTCAATCTAGAGAAACAAAGAAATTGATTATAATCATGAACAAAATGTCAATTGCACTCTTTATAAGTTTGAACTCAGTCAAAACGGCAATGTTTTTTTTTTAATAATCAATAGACCAAATACAGACTCCGTCGATTTTTAATCAAGAATCTCTAATTTTAGGTCCATCTAGAGTCTAGACTATTCTGTAATTGCTGTACTAATTTTAGGACGAATTAAAGGAGGTTAGCATTTAAAATCTTTAACCTCTTAGTACTCGTTTTGACAGTTAGATACTTAGTTATTTTGCTCAAATGAACGCGAACGCCCCTTGAAAAATCACCTTCTGAATTTTGTGGTAAGCCATGCTGACGGGTCTATGAGCCAGAGCCAGCACGCGGTAGCCCTGGTCTGTGTAAGACCGTAGCTCCACATTGAAATTCGACGGCACAGATTCGGGCGTAGAGAGCGAGGCGATTTTCTGCGAAAAAAAAAACCTGACTTACTAAAGAAAAATATGGCACTTGATTGAGTTACAATGATACAAAAATTCCGAGAACTGATAATATATTAGATACATTCATCAACTTTAGTTACTTAAGGAAATGAAATATTAGTCCAAGAATTTCAAGAAGCGGCTTTTGTATTAGTCTACTGCTGGTGACACAAGTCCCAAGGCCCTCAACTACATATACGAAGGTTAATGTATGGTCAGGCAAAATGCTAGACAGTAATCAATACAAAGCCGATACTGACCTCGGGAGATCCCTTGCAGTAGACATCCCAGTGTTTGTCCCCCAGTCTTTTGGTGACTACACACATCCTCTGCAGACTCGACTCGAAGGGAAACTGCCTCAATATTCCGATCTCGAGCGGAGTAGTTTCGTCCTGCCGGAAGTAAGACATTACATTGTCATAAAAATTTCCTTAGGGATCGTCCTGAAGAAAATAAGTTGTTAGATTGAATAACTAAACTTGATTAGTTCTACTTACAACTAAACTTGATTAGTTCTACTTACGAATGTGCGTACATAAGAAATAGATATAGGAATTGAAATTTACGCCTTTTCTGACTTAGATTTAAGTATCAAAGACAGTTGAGTAGATGGATTTGAAACGATAAAGGCTGCGGGTTATAGTAAAACAATTAAATTTCTCATTATTAATTGACCCTTGCATTTACTGATTGATTAGTCAACATATCATCCAGCCGTTCCAAAAATAAATCTTCAATCCGCATCAGATACACCACTTTTGACCATTCTAACAGCAACTTGCATCACGTCTCTTATACCGTGTTATATATATTCAGCAATTACAACCTTGGAAAAATTTTATCAACTGAATAACCAGATGGCACCATCAACAAGAATCAGAGACAATAATAAGAATCAGAGACAATAATAAGAATCAGAGACAATAACAAGAATCAGAGACAATGACAAGAATCTTGACAGGTGGTAGTGGTGGCGGTGTGACAAGTGGTAGTGGTGGCGGTATGACAGGTGGTAGTGGTGACGGTGTGACAGGTGGTAGTGGTGGCGGTATGATAGGTGGCAGTGCTGAAGGTATGACAGGTGGCAGTGCTGAAGGTATGACAGGTGGTAGTGGTGGCGGTGTGACAGGTGGTAGTGGTGGCGGTTTGATACGCTGAGAGGTGGTACGCCAGTGGCAGGTGGTGAAATTATGCACTTTTTTAATGATGAAGGAAGTGAAATGATAATGAGGTGACAGATGGTACTTCAGTGACAGTGTCTTGAGGGTGGCGGGCGATATGAATGAAAAATGAATAGAATAAAAAAGCAAATAATTCAGCAGCACAAAGACGCAATGGATGTGATGTGCAAGTAGAAAAATGGTTGTGTGGCAAAATTAAGTTTCGAGATTTAGAGATGGCGTCTTTGGTAGAAATGTCAGGTAGATCATACACAAAATATGCTATAAGCGACCAGTTGTGAAGTGGTGCAAGAAATGTGTGCGGTCAATACGTTTCAAGCAAAGGGCTTTTTAAAACTTAGAAAAATAGAAAGAATTTGGCGGTCAAGATTTAAAAAAAATATCCTAAATAAACGGTGGAAATACGATTTCACTGGACAAATAATTGTTTCCACAATCAATAGTTCGCACAATCGAGACATGAGACATGAACAATTGCATAAAGCAAAGTCACATACGAAAAGGAACAGAAAAGAACAATTAAAACCTGAAACGCATTGTTGATGGAACAACATGAAGGTGTATTGCTGGCTTGTGGTGAATTAATGAGAATGTAGAAGAAAGCAAACAATGCATTAGAGGATAAATGAAGGAAATAGGCAGAATGCCCGGCGGAGATGCAAGGAACGGATCCAGGGAGTAATGCAGGAGAAGGTCTCGGCAGCAGAGACAAGAAATACGACAAATTAGCTTATATAACAGAACAGTGGTGCTATTTAATAGCATTTAAACCTGTCTCATTCGAAGCAAGGCTGCCGCCAACTTTTGAAGTTTTTGAATACGCTAGCTGTTAATTATTACCATAAAGGTTTTAATAATAAAATTGTATACAACAAATATGAAGAAACGTCAAGGTAACAGCGTAGAAAGAGAAAGCATTATCAAACGGACATAATTAAAACCCGAATTTATATGACAGATTTCGATTATTTTATTGCATATTCTGAGCTTGATTTTCATTTTTCAAAATTTCAACAAGCTGAATTTCAAGAACTCCGTTAAAGCACCAGAGAATAAACCACTTATAGCATCATTGAAAAGAGTACTTATTCTCTAAGAAAAGATTTAAGTACCTTAAATTATTATAAGATAAAGTGTCACCGTGTGAAAAAATAGTCTGGAGTAAAACAAGTTAAATAGCACGGAAACCGGAACCCAGCGAATTTAGGATTACAGAAAAAAAACATCTAGAAAATAACATTCTAAATATGCTTCTAGGGCAACTGCACTACGCCTAGCATAGCCTTGATTCATTGAATTTATAGTATTTTGACTGACCCCGACACCTAAGCATGATTAAGTAATTGAATTAGGGAGGACTATATAGAGAACTAGACGACAGCCATTGATCTTGGAGAGAAACACGCACAATAATACCATTGATACAATAGCCATAAAGAAGAAAAAGAACTAGATAGCATAGCCTTTGATCTATAGGATTTATATAGAAACACCCACAATAATACCTACCATTGATACAATTGTCATAAAGAAAAAAATAGAACTAGATAGCCTTTGATCTATAGGATTTATATAGAAACACCCACAATAATACCATTGATACAATTGTCATAAAGAAGAAAAAAGAACTAGATAGCCTTTGATCTATTGGATTTATATAGAAACACCCACAATAATACCATTGATACAATTGCCATTAATAAGAAAGAGAACCAGAAAGAGCCTGACCTTATTTCGCTGGCTCTGAGAGTCGTGATGGGCTTCACGAAGTAACGCGTGTATTTCTTGTAGTGCTCCTGTGGTAAGAAGAAAATATTATTTCATTTTAATACACAAGTCAAGAATAACAGAAAGAGCGAATGATAAACGACAATAGATTCGAAAAAAATAAAACTGATCGATATGATACTTAATAGGTACTAATACTTAAAAATAGATATTGACTAGCATCGGCAACAGGCCATGGGCCTATTTCTTCGATGCCGACACTTCTATTCCATTCTATTCTATCAGAAGAAAAGTGCCTGATTGATGTCGAAATTTCAACTCCATATATCATGCTACGCCCTGAATTTAGCAAGAACTAAGCTTTACAGCAACTTGCAGAGATTATTCTTGATTTATTTCGAAATGCGAAATTGAAACATCTGGCAAGGCTTTTCACTGAAAAATTTTCTTCTATGACAACACAATGCATTCACTTGTTGCTGCTCCAATGTTATAGTTGCCAAGTTATCACATCTGAACTTGAACTAATGGTATTGCGCTCTCAATACACACTTTCAGACTCAACGGTGACCGCACACACTCACCATACTCCATAGGTACTTATGTTGCAGTAACACTCACCACACTCCATACTCATGTTGCAGTAACACTCACCACACTCTATACTCATGTTGCAGTAACACTCACCACACTCTATACTCATGTTGCAGTAACACTCACCACACCTGTCTCTTATACACATCTAGATGAGACAATAACAAGAATCAGAGACAATAACAAGAATCAGAGACAATAACAAGAATCAGAGACAATAACAATAATAAGAGAAAATAACAATAATAAGAGACAATAACAAGAATCAGAGACACACCTCATCAGGGGTGAGGGACGGCGGACGAGGCGGGTGGACGGTGGTGGGCATCATCATGTCGTACTTGCTGGTGTCGTCCTGGCCAGGCTCGTGCAACTCCCAGCCCGTGCTCTCGAACATGCGCAGCTCAAGCGGGTCTCCCACCTGTACACCAGCATATTTTACGTCAGTATCAAGTCTTGTGCATGCGTCGCCATTACAATACTAAATGCTGATACATTAAGTCACCGCCTATATTTTTGCCTAAATTTACAACATTCCATCGCCAGTACCAGGGCTAAACTCGGTGACCATTGCAATACTGAATTTTCAACGCATAATAACTAAATAACTAAACTAATTGGCATACCATCCTCAATACCAGTGCAAAACACCGTCAATATTGCGATAATAAATTTGTATTATTATTATGACTACACTGTTTAATAAGCAAGTCGATACCAGCGAGAAAAAAGCTTCACAAGCAATAACTGAAACCTCACGCCACTAGGCAATGGGTTCCACATTTTTTTGTTTGGATTTAAATTTTGCATGGGAATGAGAGAACCTCTAAATAATTTCGTCACGTCGATTAACACGTGACATAAAAAATCAATTCAGTAACTGTAGAAACGAACCTTTTCCATGTTGATGATGGTAATGGAGTGACAGGACGCCATGGCAAAGAGGAGATGGTCGTGAGGCATGTTCGAGGGCTCCTTGTTGAGGGCGCCCAGGTAGAGGCCCGGCACAGACGCTCTCTTCAGGTCACTCTCGAGAGGCTCGTCCGCTCTGATGAGAAATTTGATAAGAATGTAGATTTAAAGAACTTAAATCAAATTATGCATTGTTCATCGTACTTTTGATAGCGTCATTTAAATTCAACAATTGGAACAATAAAAAATAACATAATATTAAAGTTTAAAAATTGGCTAGATTCCCTAACCTGGAACAACAAGGACAGCCAAAAAGTCATCTGTGATAATTAAGCCTTTTAAATTCCTGGTTAACTTGCGATTCAATCATTTTAAAAGAAGTATGTGAGAAATTTCAACATACGGTATGTAAAAAGTCACCTCAGCAGATATATCTGAATAGACAATAATTCATTAAAATAACATCATTAATGTAATGAACCAACAAGTGTCTGCTGTGCTGCTGGTGCGGTGTGCTGGTGTTGGTAGAGGACGCGGATCGGTTGCTTTTGCGGACGCTGCCGCGGATGTCGACGCGGCCAACCACCGGGATCACGCCCCGCATATCAAGGCCGTCCTCCGTCAGCGTACCCGTCTACAGAAGAAGGGAATCGGGTTAAAAAAATAAGTTTGAGGTGTCTGGAGATGAAGATAATTGAATAGTAAGAAAGAAGGTTGAGACTTTGGAAGTTGAATGGAACTGAATGGAGAGAAAGGTAGATAATAATTTGGAGTAGAAAATAATTGAGCTGAAAGAAAGTTAGTTGCGACGTTTGGAGTTGAGGGGAATATTTAGAGTTGAAGGGAAATTTGCTGCAGGAAAGTTAGCTGTGAATTTAATGGATAACAAATCATCAATGCATGATCGTGAGCAGCTATTATTAGAACCAAGGGTTAAAATTAAAGGAAGGAAAGGTTTCAAACAGATAAACGTCGTAGAGACATCTATCAAAGGAGTAAATTTGAAAGGACTCACTGTCTTCAATGAAACTGTACGGTCACAATCATTACAATAGGAATTCAAGCATTTTCAGTGCAAGTGTCACTACATTTGTTTCAACAGATTCTCCGATGTTGTCACTTTACTCATAACGTATAATCCAAATCTCTCCAATCGAATAAAAAATTCACACATGTATTAAAATCGATATCATTCACAATGGCAATCTGGAATGTCCTTAAATCGCTTCAATGTTTTCACCTACAAAAAATGCGTATAATCCAGAACTTAGCAGACAATTTACCTTGTCAAAGCAGAAGCAGTTAAGCACGCCGCTTATGTTGACCGTGCGGGGCGAGATGCAGTAAATACGCGCGCTTTTAAGGCGCCTCAAGGCGTACAAGATGCCAACCTGTGAGCATTGTCGAGCATAGTGAAAAAAAGATAACAAATACGACTATGAATGCTACATATTATCGTTCAATTTTAACTTGAGCAACAACAAGACAGAACAACATTTTCAACATATTAATGACGGGATTAAACCCATTTAATATCCATATATCACATACAAAAAATGAAGACAATCTTAGACAAAAATAAACATCCAATATAAAATTGAATTTCATCTAAAAGTAAATGCGTGAATTTTGCAAGAGTAACATTTACCAAGTCTTAGGAATTGATTACACTTGTTGCTAAAAATAGCACGTATCAATATAGTTAAAAAAAACACATTGCGCACTCACCGTCATCGCCATGGGCAGGGCTGGAGGGATGACGATAGTGATGAGGTCAAGGGAGTCTACGATGATTTTGGGAACTGCAATGCCACGCATGTACTGAAATTGCAAAAAAAAACTTCAGTTCGAGCGCCAAGATTCAGAAAAACATTCAGTATAGGTGCTTAAGCATAGCTGTGAATAATACGAGAAAACGCTTCAAAAATAGTTGATAAACCTGATGTCAGAGAGATTGTTATATAATGAATGAAACTGGGGCGCAAAATTGGCTAGCATTTTTACAAATTATTTTAAAGAAAAACTGTTTATTAGATTTCATCATTTTTCACAGTTGGTAACGGTAAAAAGACACGCAACACACGAAGATAACTATAATTGTCAGTAACCTCGTGGTCCAAGCATAAAAATCTATATAGTTAAAAGTGAAAATAATACAGAAAATTTTGTTCGTAAACTTACTTTGGTGACAACGGTATAAATGCAGCCGAACGAGGCTATGAAGGCCAAGACCATAACAAACTTGTAGGAATCTTGCTGGAACTTAAAGTCCACTGGAGGTGGGTACATGATGCTCCGTACGAGAGCACCTTTGTTGGTACTGAAGCCAGTGCGTACCACGACGGCAAGTACCCGCTCTCCTCCGTAAAACCGCGTCTGGATCACCTGCGTACCACAGTACAACGTGTGCTTTCCGTGCTCCTGTATCGAAGAGATAGTAATTGTAAACATAATTGCAAATCATCACAGTTTATATCGTCGAATCCAGCTCAATGCCAGTGTAATAATTTCGGAAAAAATTACGCAAAATTTAACAAACATTTTAAAGTTACCGATTTACTTGTCAAATTGTATAATCGTAATTTTAAACGATAACCACACACTTGACATAAAACTGGACGTAAATTGAATTGAGAAAATCTATCATTGCGAACCTTATCGAATGCCAAGTGACGCAGCGGCAACAAAACTCTTCATGAGCGGGGCCCTGAAAAATATTCCTTCTCTCCAGCTAAATGCGGAGAACTTAAATCACGCTTGCCGAAATCTCTACGCGACTTACGAAGAGCTTCGGTAGATGCCAGACTCACCCTCGGTAGATGCCAGACTCGCCCTCGCTAGATGCCAGACTCGCCTTAAGCAGATGCCCGATTTGGTCTCGGCTGAAGCAAGACGCATCCTATCAGAGACATGAAGATACCTGACTCACCCTGACTAGATACGAGACTCACTCTCGCTAGATGTCTAACTCCCCCTCGCTAGATGTCTCACTCCCCCTGGCTAGATACGAGCCCCACCTTATCAGAGTAGTAAGTGTTGGAGCGAGCCATGATAGGCGTCTTGGTTACAGGGACGCTCTCCCCAGTAAGCATGGACTCGTTGACGATTGCATTGCCCTGCAGCAGCACCGCGTCGCACTGCATCATGCACCCCTGCGCCGGCACCAGCAGCACGTCGCCCGGGACCAGCTGCTCTGAAGGGATGCACTCAGAGTGTCCGTTGTCGCGTAGAACCTGAAATTACAGAGATGTTCAGCAGATATAATATTTAAAACGTTTGAAATTTAACAAGGCTATTTGTATGAGGCTTGTGATGAAACGTCGGAAATTGGATAGAACCTATAACATCTCGTTGGGAAATAGAATGCGGAAAATGTTGTTTGAATAATTCAAGAGGAACAACTGTAGCATCACAAATCGACGATAATAAAATTAACGAAATATTCCTTTTTCCAACACAGCAAACGAACATACATAGAATGAGAAAAATGTTGTACGAATAATTCAGGAGGAACAAATATAGGTATCTAGCATGACAAATCGACTGTAATAAAATTAACAAAATGTTCGTTTTTTCCAACACAGCACACGAACAAATTTGTACGAGATAAGAGTACCTCAACCACGTCACTGCTCTGTATAGTCTTGCTAAGAGTCTTCTGGTTGACGTGCATTTGGTAGACCTCGGAGATGAGGGAAATCACCGACGTGACCACGATCACCGAAGCGTAGTAAACGTAATCGTCACTGAACCACAAAATCACCGAGAACACCTGCAATAAAACGACTTGAATGATGATAGCACAGAGAAACATATCAACAGAATAATATTCATAAAATTGAACATTTTCTCAAACCTAATACTGTAGTTGTATTACAACTACTAACACAGGATGGAGATATGTCCATGAAGATTGCTCAAATTTATTTCTCAATTGAATCATTACGGTCAAATTTCAGACAAAAGTAGCGAATAATGACAAACGTGTGACGAAAATCAGAGGTTATTCCTTACCAACTTATATATAATTTATAAACTATAACAAACTACAACGATAATAGAAACCACATTTCAATAACTGAAGAAATGATCTTAACCCACTAATGCAAGGATGAATTACCTGGAACACGTAGAAGGGGTTGAGTGCTTCTTTGAAGAGCAGTTTGGCAATGGGGGTAATAGGCACGTGGATGTTGTTAGGGCCGTACACGATCCTGCGACGAGCTTGTTCCTGCCACGACAAGCCTGTGCACGAGTGCAGGTAGCTCGTGGGGTGCTGTAGGGACCGGCGACACGTTAGTGTTTATATTTATATTATATAATACTGGTCAATACTGGTATATAATATTATATAATACTGGTCAATACTGGTATATAATACTGGTCAGAAAAGATGACCAATGATATGTGCTGTCAGGGGCAGGCGATACGTTAGTGTATATATAGTTGTTAAATACTGGTCGGAAAAGACGACCAGTGATATTACATCAATAAATTCAGTGCTGCTCAACCTATTATTACCAATTAAATACTTTGATATGCAGATAACCTGTGGTTGCATAATAAAAGACAGTGACATTTTCATCAATATGTGTAAGTTAGATTTTTACTCTATTTTGACAAATTTCACATGATAAATCTAGGTAATTCATATCATAGCAGATGCGATTACAAAAGTCAGTGCATTAATAATACAAAGAAAATACGAGCAATTTAATAATTTTTCGTTATATGGGAATAAGAGCGGCCTCGACGTCTTTCTTAGAATAAACTGTTAAATAACGCAGATTAATTGAATGCATAAGTAGAAAAAATCATTACTCAATGACTGGATGAATGACCAGTAGCTTTCAAGTCAGTTTTCGATATGTCAAGACGAAAATTCCGTTTTTAGACTTTCTAGAATCGTGTCAAGAATATAACAATAATATAGCGATAACCCGCACGTAGCCTCGTTACCTCGTCCACACTCTTATATACTATATTATACTATCCCATGGTAAACTCAACCATACTATAATATATGGTACGTACCATACTAAACATAACACACTACTTAAATATAGGTACTTTACAGTACCGTATATCCTGTTCTAAAAATAAAGGTTAATAAGGATCGCATAAACATATCGGTACTCACGCCAGCACCCAGCTCAGGCAATTTATAGAAGACCTTTTCTTCATCATCCCAGAGGAAGGTGTTTTTCTTGCACCGGAACAGCCGCACGTGCGTCGTTTCTTAGTAATTGATGAAACAATTCCGTAAGATATTACAGAATAATAAATAATTTCAAATTGTTATGGCCAATGACAAGTTGAGACTCGCACGAATAATTGAATCTTGTAAAAAAAGTCGCACTGAGTTGCGTAACTGTTACAATTATTAATCAAATTATTTCAAGGCAAATATAAAGCTAACCCATATGAATACCTACCACTTTTGCCGGACAGTAGAAAATACAAGTTATTGTAGGAATAACTTAAAACAAAGGTACAGATTCAAAATCTATGCTGATTCATTTTACGGTCTTGAGAGACAATCAAAATCCATATTTGCACACAATTGTATGCTTTTGCACTCTATCAAATTATGAACTTATTACCTTTGAAGACCCCTTTGCTGTTAGGCACGCGGATGGTGCGCAGTGTCTCGCCCGGCACCGTATCATTCCTACACTGCGACACTCTGTTGGCGACCGCCTCCCCGTCCACGGTGGCCACCCCGCCAGTCAGCATACTGTACTCCGGCTCTAGCCTGTCGTGTCGTACGCTTTGTGAAACTAATGCATCAACGAGTTCAAGAAAAAGCTCGCGTATGGTGCAAGACCAGACATTGAATTTGTAAAATAAAGCATGCGTGGCCTAGGTACTATCCATATAAACAATGATTTTGGAAAGGCTCACTTTGGGACATGTTTGAAAAGGATTATGAATTAATACAATAGTGCATGCATTGCCTACTAGTAACACGATTAATGTTATCGTTGATGAGCCCACTTTGGGACATTTTTGGGAGCGAGCAGACATAAAGTATGTCCAAAGAGTATTTACAAGTTTCATAACCATTGCGCAGATAATTCAAGCACAGTTGTATGTTAATGAACAGATTCAACTGTTGTTTATGATCTCAAAGTCTAAAATTAGAATAGTATTGCAAGTTCATCAAGACAGTACTAATGCTGGTTTGTTTCATTCTAGTGAAATCGTTACCTAAGACATGATTTAAAATTGATATCAGGACCTGTCATGAGTGTTTTTTTTAATAATATCTCTATGTATCTGAAGAAGAGTAATTCTAGAGTCACTATCAATAATTCAGATCAATAGGTACATGTGTCACGTCAGAACTTCAAAGTTAATGTGTTATAGAAATAAATTTTATGCGACACAATATTGTAGGTAAAAAAATAACAACAAAATGAACACGACGATCAAATGGTAATAAACCACTCGAACCATCAAACTTTAACAAAATCCTCCTCGTCAACTGAAAAAAGGCATATAGATCATCAAAGGAATTAAAATAAGCTTAAAATATCAGCAGACATGCCCCTATATCATGACATGCAACAATTCTCACTTACAAACGTAATACATGGAAAAGAAAAACAAGAAATTTAATTTTTACTGTAAAGTTTGTGACCTCAAACCGAGCTTAGTCAAAATAAAAACCCAGAACAATGTACGAGTGAAGAACAAAATATAGAGTATAATAAAAATATTACAAATGAACGAGATTTAAGCGCATTAAAAAATTACAGGCTAATTAATGGTTCAAGCAGGTGCCTAAATTGCAGTTTTTTTTATTTTTACATCGGATGATTAGAAGTAATGTGTGCAAAAAAGTATCATAAAAATTCAAGCAACACCAAGCACGATAGGAAGAATGCAGGATGCGAATAACAAAGCAATAATTATTAAAGTATCTCTGGAATTCTAAAGACAATTATTAAAGTATCTCTGGAATTCTAAAATAAAAGTGGCAAGCAAGCAGGCCATTAGCATATACCTGACGTCTAGCACCTCCAGCAGCAGCAACCACGCCTTCAGCAGCACCTTGCCTGCCAGGCAGCGGCGACTGCCGTGCCATCTGAAGCCCCAACACCAAGCGACAGGTGGTAGTGGTATGACAGGTGGTAGTGGTATGACAGGTGGTTATACTCATGTTGCAGTAACACTCACCACACTCTATACTCATGTTGCAGTAACACTCACCACACTCTATATATATACTCATGTTGCAGTAACTTTACTTATTTTGCAGTAACCTCAATATCCTTAGTATTTGTTTGGGACATAGCAGTCCCAGGCCAAGATGGATCGCCGCCTCTGATTATATCGTTCATCCGCCCTCATTTGGGCCACCTGATGCACGATGCTGTTGCTTGCTTCTCGCCGCTGGTAGTGTTGCTGGGGAGGTCGATTTGTCTGTCTGCCCTATGCTTGGGTAGGTGACTGATGCTAGCATATTAATTTATCAATATGTTGGACTGTTGTTTGCCGGAGGGGATGGGATCCGAAGAGGTAATTGCCGAGTGAGATGGGGTGAGGCCACTGTTGCAGTTGGTGTCCAACCCTGACGACTATGAGCCTCACGAGTTTGCCTCACTAACTCGTGAGGCTCGTAGTCGTCAGGGCGGGACAGCGTCAGCTCGACCTTCACGCCCCCCGCCGCCGCCGCTGCCGCCGCCACGAGTAACACTCACCACACTCTACTTATGTTGCAGTAACAATCACCACACTAAATACTCATGTATCAGTCACCACACTCACCACACTCAATACTCATGTAGCCGTCACTACACTCACCACACTCAGTACTCATGTAGCAGTAACACTCACCACAATGAGGACCCGGGTCGCAGCGTGCATGTTGCAGCGGGTGTAGGTAGCGTACAACATCCACCGCGGGTTCCAGTGGAAGACGAGGCGCAAGAGGCCGGCCGTAGCCACGATGAGCAGCCACGTCACGACCGTCTTGAGCACGTTGCGCCTGAAGCCCAACACCTCCTATACCGGCACCACATCCAATACATTACAACTTTAATATTTTGTGGAGAATATGTATCTTGTCATTATTTTAACAGATCAAATTAATAACATGTAACTTCTTCTAGTATTGCAGAAATATAATAAATTATGCATTAACTCACGGACTGCTCCTCTTCGCCCGAATCGATGACGTGAACATCGTTTTGGCCGCCGCCCGCACGGCTGCTCTCTCCTGAACACATGCAAGCACCTCGTGAGAACGCGGAGACAGTATATATACTGTATATATACCACCAGAAAATCAACGAGGACATCTAATCTATATATTTGATAAAGCTTTGGGTATTAATTCATTTACTAAATATTTTGAATAATCAATAGTAGCTCAATTTGTTCAACGCGAGCACAATAAATTTATTGAATTCATGCAAGCGCGTGAGTATTGTTATCAAGGGCAAATTCTATTAGATCGCGTGCTCATAACAAATGAGCAACATCAGATCATAAAATGAAAATTTTTTACACAAGAAAATTAATCTAGTCGAAATTTGTGTCATGCTAAGAGGTGAAAGTGATCAAAGTCTCTTTTCTTTAATTGAGCATTTACCATTTATCACATGCAAATGATGCCAGATAGCATTGAATATGTGATCATTGTGGCTCATCAAACTTGAACGAATGACGAGGACAACTCAACTTTTCTACTGCGGTGTTGCAGAACTTCACTACCGTAACATGAATCCAAATTTGGACCAAAAGTTATTGTATTTCAATTTTTATTATAATGATTTAGAAAATATTTTCGATACTACTCGTTCCTGGGGTACTTGTTTGTTTCTATTATTTTGTGGGAACTGATCCAAAAGCAGAGCACTAAAATTTGTCAATATTTGAAATAAATCGAGCAACAAATCTGTCCTGTTCAGGTAATAATTTTTTTAATAAGAGTTTGTTCGCATAAAAATCACAATCTTCATACAACATACAACAAATCTTTTGTACAATAATAACAACCAACCGCATTCAGATCATTCGTTTGAGCAGGTGCGAGCTGGAGTTCATTAGTTCAGTTGATGAATAAATAAATAATGACTCTGCGACTGCAGGTAACGATGGAACGGTCGTTCAGACACAGATTCACAAAGTAAAATTACGAAATCAAAACGCGCTCGCACAGCTATTAGGTCAGCTACACAATTGTCTTTCATTCGACATTTAATTCACTTAAAATTCGTTATTTGTTATAATGCACATAAATTCAAAGCGATGCCGGAAGTAAAAAGATAAACCACAGCTTTGAAGTCTCGCATTTGAACAGGTGCAAGCTCGTGCTGTTAAACAGGTGCGAACTCGTGCTACGACAACAAGTGACGAAGAAACGAACACTCGAAGATTAAAAAAATAGCACTGTGAAATAAAAACATGGTCTCGCAGTTACATCTTTAACTATATAATAATCTTTCATTAGCCATTCCAGTTTTATGAGCTACCTATAAAACGCATCAAATAAAATGTTGAATCTCAGCTAGGTGAGATGAGGACCAACGTAATTGGTTAGAACAAGTTGGCTAGTACTAGAATTTGTCACCGTAAAATTTTAGTGTAAAAGTGTTCAAATATATTCGGGGACACGCACTCGATACCTCTCGATACCTACAAGCAGCTATAAACATTCAAGTCGAAACCGGAGGCAGAATTCTCGCAACCACGTTTCTTAGAGCATCATTAGTTTCTATCATAAAAATAATATTGCAGTCAACAATACTGAACAGGGAACCAAAATACTATACTAAAAACTGTAAAAAAAATTCCTAGGTTAGATGCATAATAATCATCTTTGGAAAAATTTAAAAAAGACTGCAACAACAGAGAAAAATGAGGTTAGTGACATGGAGATCATGTAAGTGGAAATCATCTAGCGGTCATTCGACATAAAATGAAAGTGAACCCGTCGCACCATCATGACGTAACAACAGAGTATTAAAAATTAAGGTTTATGTTTCAAAGGTCCTTTGGCGACACAGACTCTCGAAGCTGTAATATAACGACCGAACCTTCGTCTTGCAACAACACAAATTGCGACACGCTGCCCTCGGGCAACCGACAACGAAAGAACAGCATTCGGTGAAAGCGATGTACCCACACAGTAGCTAAGCAGGGAAATTTCGAGCGCGATCATGTCCAGGGCAATATTCGAACTTTACATCTGTGGCCGTACAACTAAGGTTAAATTTTAGAACGAAGAAATATAATTATTCCAATACCGGTATCTCGACTAGTACCTAATATTGATTACTGAAGCAAATGCTGTTGACTATTATTTTAAGTACTGTCAGATTTACGAGAAACTGACACGTCAATGAGTTTCAGACGTGCTCTGACGTACAAATTGTACGTGAACGGCATGAGTTAATATCACTTGAATAATTGTTTGTACACATCATTATTACATAGTACATACAAAGTTCATTTTTACACGAGCACAAGACCTTGCAGCAAAGGCAATCACATTAACATAGACAGAGATCTTATATGAATCATAAAGGAATCTTTGCAACTAGCAAATAACTGAAATAATTCATCACTGCCCATTTTGAGAAAAATCCAAACACATAAAGCAAAAGGTACACATGGAATTGTGCTCCCATAATTTAAACATCGAAAGATGTTAGTTAAGATAAATACACATTTACCTTCAACTACAAGCAAACGGCGTTTACCAAATGACGCGTCATTATTTCATTAAACTGTACGATCAGACTTAATCATACAGAAATTCATTCACAGATTAACCGGTATTGCAATTAGGACCATTAGTAATTATGATGTAAACACAACAGCAGAAAATTACTATTAACTGTGTCCCTTTATCGGCAAATTAAACCCGGCAGCACAATGACACCAAATTTTTCAGCCCCTATATACAATACTAATTTGGAATCAGGAAAATCGGCATCTATTTTTACCAGAATAATCAAACTTGATTAACAGAGCATATTCTAATACTCCTCATTTCAGATTTTCACATTATGGAAGGTCCAAGAGCCTAATTTTAAACGGCAAAACAGCATCGTTACTCGCAAATTTAGGCATCAATAAATTAGTTGAAACCCCACTTCCCGAGTTTAGAGAAGTCCTGGCATAAAGAATAAATTTTCCCGACCAACATTTTCACAGACCAGTTTATTTACGTCACTGCACGCCCTTGCACATTTTTTACCGGGCGTGATTTCTAAGATATGCAAACGTGGCTCGATTGAGATTCGGAAACTGTAGAGCTTGCAATCTATATGAAATTAACATTTCCAGAAGAGATTACCCAAGGTTCTTATTCCCAACATTATTCAATTCCACTCAGCAAGTAGGAGATGAATCACTCACCCAAGTTCTGTCCATTTGTCTCCTTGAGTTCGATGTTATTTTCATCCTTCCGCTTATACGACGATGAAGTTCCATTCATCGTCTCGAAAGTCTAGGGTAAGTTATACTTTCCACACCGGAACATTGATCGATTACGTGTCTGCCACCACTCGTAAACCATCGACAGTTCTTCCTGTTGCAGTGCTCTCTTAGTCTATATCTTGAACAGTAGTCAGTAGAATCACAAACGGAATGAAAACAACTGAGAAATTCGAAATGGACGGGGCTTTTATAGCAAAATTACCAAACTCCATGTATCCAGTATACTAACGTTGAACTTACGTTGATCGAAATTACGTGACAAAATTTGCATTGTATCTAACGAATGAAGCTCCTACAATACGTCATTAAGGACGTCGAAATGGATATTTTTTAATAATATTTTTCACTTATTCAGTTTTAAAATACTTTAATAAATTATTTTGATGAGGGAAGACAACATTTCAAGTCACCAGGACGCCATCAAACATACTTCAAAGTTTTCCCGCACAGAATGCAGGGTTGGGCAGAATTCTAGCGATGAGACATGCATGAAATACGACTGAGTTAAACGATCCGGTGGCCACATAACGAAATTAGGTACTCCACCCAGAGTTGAGTGCACAAATCCGGCATTTATTTTATATCGCATGCTTCTATGTCAGAATAGATGTTACAAAACTGGGTCAAAGTGATTCAGATGCATGCTTCAGTTTAAGAAGAGTGAAACAGATGTAGGATTCAAATCAAACATAACACACTAGTGTATAACGCCAAATTAACAAATAATAAAATCGCTTTTGGACGCTGCGTTCGTTAATATGAAACATACCACAGGAGCCTAGTATTTGTCATGACCCTACAACAGTTTAAAAATTGTAAAATAAAATTTATCAGTACATGAAAAAAATAGTTGAACTATAAGAAGTAAAACATCAAAATAGCAGATTTCTCAGTGGAGGTTCAGTAACAGTTTAGGGACACTATACGTATATTTACGTCTTAATCATATACGAAATGTATTATTACTGTACTACCGTAAATTTTCGGTAACTTCACTGTCCATTTCTATGAAAAACACGTGCCGGGACATATGTACACCAAACACGTGAACATAGTTATGAAATTAATCAAATATTTCATGGAGGAAGTTATTTCGAGATTATTAGTTACTAGGTTTTGAAAATTTTTCAAATGTTCATGATTATCATCCGGAGTTTGTTCTCAGCCGGGGTTAAGATGAAGAAGAGATAGGATATAGGAAGAATAGGATGATGAAGAATATTGTTGTAAAATCCCGAAAAAGTCTTCCTAACTTGACATGACCTATCCGTGGCAGAAAGTGCTCAGTTAAAATTTCCTAACTTTTTATTTATTAAATAAGCGATGAGAATAACAAGCAAATAAAAATTAACTGAACATTAATTTTATAATTCAGTCTAAGTAAAAGTCGGAGTGAAATGTGGATTTGGCTGGATCAATGCCGCATTATAACTAATCAAAAGCAGGTGTTCAAAAGATGATAAAAATCTTCAAACTCTCTGAACCGAGGAAAAGCTGAAATGTTAGATCCGATACATATACCAAAGCCATTCAATACCGAGATTAATTTTTCACATAAAGTCGTCAAACATATCTCTCAGAGCGTTAGCACCTCTCATTAAGCATTTTACTGACAAGCCACAAAGAAAACTATCCTAATGGACTCCACATATGTACGGGAGCAGACACGAATCATAGATTCAGTTGTTTTGTAAAAAAAATAGCTGATCTATGTCTCAGGTGTTTCTCACTATAGACTACTAATGAAAGAAGTCTGAAACAGTTCTTTTG